TTTAATGGATTTTATGGAGTTTTAAATAAGGTGAAAGGTTTGGTTGTTTTTAATTAAAATTTTTTATAACACTACCCTCTAATTTAGGCTGACTTATGCCCCTTTTCTTAGGATTTGGGAAGGGGCGGCTGGGACAGTGCTTAAGGGGTAAAGGGTTTTAAACAAGATGGCTACTATAGTAAATGAGCATGGTTGCATCTGTTTGAAACATCACTAGTCTTCATTTATTATGGAAAAGTTTTAATTCAATAGTTTGAAAACAGGTACATAAATGAAACAAGGAAACATTTTTGTATTTTTCAAAACACAAATCCTCCTGTTTTTCAAATGGAGGCGAGCGAGTTGATGAGATTCCTTCCATAATGTTGTTGACATGGAATAAAAACGTGCTTTTTAGATTTAGACCGTAAAAAAAAAATAAAAAAAAAAAACTTAAGCCTAAAATTAATTCAGAAATGTAATATTTTTAGAATCAAGTTGCAGATCCAGAGAACTTGAAAATAATTTGTTGAGTTTAAGGCTACATTTCTATTTATTTTCATCAAGCCTAAGTTTAGTAAGTTATAACCGGAGTTTCACTTTCGTAAGACAAACATTGATTGGCTGTAAAGGAACTCCGTGATCGATTTCTGACAGCCCCACTTTATAGTTATTTTGTTTACAGAACTTTGCAGATCAAGTTTTTAAAAAACTATGCAAATTTAAACACCATGACCTATTTTTTTCTATTTTTAGCTTACAATGTGTACAATAAAATTTATGGCGGCCATTGTTTATGTCACCATTACCCGTGAAAACCAAATTGTTTTTGCTTTTTCTTTAATTTTTATTTAGTTACCGAAAATTTTAAAAACATCAAATACACCCAATCTTTAGTAAAGTCCGAAAAAAACCCATACAGACAGGATTTTATAACCATATTAATTGTAACTACGCCGTGCCTGATTTTAAAATTAATTTATGCACTTCTCAAATACCTTTGAGACTTTTCTCGCTGGTGTCCATTTACGACGCTAAACTAAGATTTTACCCTAGATTACTACTCATTACTAGAATCAATATCTAGTAATGAGTAGTAATCTGTAATGTGAAAAACAGGTGACTCCTTAAATTTTAATAATTATTTCACATTTTGAGGAGGATTTATGTTTTGAAAAAATACAGTTGTTTCAGTTTCATTGTTTCATTTAGATTTATGTACCTGTTTTTAAACAATTGAATTGAAACTTTTCAGTAATAAATAAAGACTAGCGATGTTTCCATCAGATGCATCAAAATTTAATGAGTCACCTTTTTTTTCACATTACTAATCTCGACCGATTTCATGTACCTTAACAATGAGGCAACTTTTTCGCACATTACTAGTCTCGGAAGATTTGACGCACCTAAAACGATAGATTACCACTATTTATTAGGGTCAATTTTGGTAATTTTTCAAAATAATACATATTGACATAGCCTAGATTCTATATCTATATTCAGTATTTAGGTAATATATTGGTTGCTGAAATATGTAAAAGATCTTATCCCTCATGTGCAACCAAAGCTTTTATTAAAGAAAAAAAATAAGTTATCTTTTTGTTGCAGTGCATTTAAAAGCTTGTTGCTCTAAGGTTTTTTTAATATTATTTTTTATGAAATGGTTACATCATCAGTTTGATTTAAAACAAATGGCTTAAAGTTAAAAGTAAACTTAATTGTAATTAATGCTCCCATGTTTTAATGGTGAGTCATGCTTTAGAATGTGTGCATGCTTCTAGCAAATATTGATATTCCTAGATGGACTACTGGTTTAACTGATCTAAAATACACATTTTTAAGTAAAACCTGCTATTTTATTCCTGAAAAAAATTATTTCAAATCTGCATTTTTCAAAATACTAAAGTATCATACTACTATGCGTTTGTTTTATTCATATAAAAGTTTTAAAAATCTTAAAATTAACTTTTTTTACAGTTATCATTTACAGCATTCATTTCCTAATGGCACCCCGTCAAAAGAGCGCACGACAAAAGAGCACCGACATAAGAGCGCAGGCAATTAAAAAAACACATGTTGTACGCTTAACGAATATGACATAGTTAACACTTGTTTTAATTAAACAATCGGCGGTACGATAAAACGACATGATTGTGTTTATATATTATGGTTAACATGTTATGAATGCAATTTGAAAATATCTCTAACCCAAGTAACATGGAGAAGATATTGGTCGAAGGCTACAGATATCGAAAGGACAGATCAAATGCTGATGGAAGTAGGACCTGGAGATGCTGCAAGAAAAATGGCTGCCGAGGACGGATGAAAATGTTGAAGGATGATGTTCTGTCAAGGGTTGGAAAAAACAAGGCAGATTATACAAGCCGATGGAAGTAGCACCTCATTTGCCGGCATACGTCGCTTCACAATGTGCAATAGAAAGACAGAAAACGCAAGCAGCTGCCATAACCAAATCTGCAGAACGTTGCAGATATAACAATTCCTAAACCTCTTCAAACGAGAACAAGAAGGCAAAATTTCGTCTTGAGGGATTCCAGACCAACTGACGTTTACAGAATGATGATGTTCGTAACAATGGATAATATCAATCGTCAATACCAGTTTTTTAGTTAAATAAACTGAACAATTAGTGTTTTAATGAAACAATAAAGAGTTAACATCAAACAATACCTTCTGATCTGAGTTAATTTTCTTGTTCATATTTATTGAATATGGTATTTCAATCTTTAGTTTGCGCTCTTATGTCGGCGCTCTTTTCTCTTCAAATTAGTGCGCTCTTATGTCAGCGCTCTTTTGACGGGTCACCTTTCCTAATGTAAACAATCCATTTAAATGAATCTAATAAAAAGTATTGTTCCTTACCTTTAATTTTAAATTAAATTTAGATACCTACTAGACTACCCGTCATCCGTTAGATAACTGTGGGTTTCGGGGGTCATCCATCAAAAAACATCACGTCTGTCACTCAGAGGCATAGCGACCCTTCCCGGCGCCCGGGGACAAACTTTTTGATTTGACCCCCCCCCCCCCGCAAGATTTCGATGTGCACCCCCCCCCCTCTCAAGATTTCAATTTGCACCCCCCCCCCCTCAAAATTTCGATTTGCACACCCCTCAACCTTTCAATTTATTTTTCCAACCGATTTTGGCGCCCCCTAAGGTCGGCGCCCGGGGACATATGTCCCCCCGCCCCCCCCCCCCCCTCCTCGCTACGCTACTGCAGTGTCACTTATCGTCACAAAAAACAGACCCCACATTCAAAAATATGTTTTTTATCTTTTAAAAACACCAAAAACACCGATTTCGGACTATCCCTTCATATACTGACTTCACAGGTGACCTACTCAACTCTACTTCACCTGCCCAGTGTCCCGCCAAGTCTCAGACAACATGTTTTTATCGTTTAAAAAACTATTCCAGCCGAGCATGTCTCTGACCACACTATCCTTTCATATGCTTAGGACAAAGAAACAGATGAACTCTACTTCACCTGCCCTGTATCCTGCCAAGTTCAGATAGTCAACTTTATCATTCACATCTTTAAAAAAAATGAAAAAAAAAAAGTATCATTGTTGTATTGATCTAGAACCTGTGCCTCCCACATGAGAGCCGATTACACTACCAACTTAGCTATTTACTCGTGACGTCACAAGTGAATTTTTATACTATACTTTGATACTTTGAGTCTCCTTATGCAACTTGATTTACGCGCATAGATCTAGATCTAAGTCTAGTAGTAGTAACTTTCAAATTAAATTTTATCTTAAATTAGCCAAACAAAGATTTATATAAAATAAAGAAGGTCTGAAATGATCTAGATAGAATTATCTAGATCTAGATTTTACGACTCGTTTGCTTAAGTCTTAAGTTTAGGTTTTTTTGCTAGATCTAGAATCTAGATCTAATCATTAGCTAATAGCCACGCTAATAGGCCCTGGAGCAAGCATTTCAAAATTACCATATTCTAAACAAAGATTTATATAAAATAATAAAGGTCTAAAATAGTTTAGTATATAGAAAATAATTTTTATCTAAATTTAGATAGAATTATCTATATTTTAGATCTACGACTGAGCTATATTTAGAATTTACGTTTAGCAAAATTACCGGTATCGAAGCCGCGTATGAATCTTAAGCTACGCAAATAGGCCCTGGATCCAGCATTTCAAAATTAGCATAGTCGAAACAAAGATTTATACAAAATAATAAAGGTCTAAAATATTTTAGTATATAGAAACTCATTATTATCTAAATCTAGATAGAATTATCTATATTCTAGATCTACGACTGGTTTGCTTAAGTTAAGTCTCTTTTTTTTTTGGATTGTATTTATAACTAATACATCTTTGATTTGACCTAGATCTAAAAATAACTTTCTTGGACAGATTGTAGATCTAGAGAAATTTATCGTAAAACTAAATGAAAAAGACAGTTGAAAATTGATATAAGTGTTGGAACGTAATAAATACAGCAAACGGACGTATTGTTAAAGTTAAAGCCGACAGAAAATTAGCTTTAGAACGCGTTAAACATTGGAATGGGAACACAATCTTCTTCGATAGGCCGCCATTATTGATGTAAAAAAATAAACACATCATGTGACGTCACTGTTTCCGTCGAGTGTAGTGGTTTTTCAAATCTTTTTAAAAAATTGTGGTTAATCTACCTATGAATAAATCAATAAATTAATTAACGTCTTTAAATAAATTTGTGATTAACAGTCTGTCTGCAATAAAAAATTATTCTCTACCTACATACTATTTTACAGCTGTCCACGATGAATAAAAGTATTAACAATACTCGATCAGACAAACAAAAAAACAAACAAACAAAAAAATAAATATTCAAACATGTAAACAAAGTTGAGTTTTAGTAGTATATAGATGCTACTGTATTGAGTAGGACATATAATAATATAATAATATTGTAAATAGCTTTAGGCCTAATATTAAAATATCACAAGATACATGGTGCAGTGTTGCTTTAAGCCCTGGCTTTTTTATGGAGTTTGACACACATTTACCGCTGGTTTTTTTTAAAATAGGATAATGTTACTTTTTTTTTTTTCACAATGAAACTGTGTATATAGTATTGTATTTTATTTCTTCTGATTTGCGACACAATCACAAGCATCTTTGCCATTTGGCGTCTCAATTTTACCCACACAATTATTAATTTATGATTGATTGAAGGTTCCAAGATTTTATTTGGGAATTTATTCCAAACTGTTGAAATATTCAAAAAATTTGCTGCAGTTAAATTTATATTTTCTGAACCAGACCTAGACTCCAACCACAAATAAATGTGCCCCCACCTGAATTGTTATAGATCTAGTAAAATATCATTCCCAGTTGTGTATTGCACAAGATGATAAATAACACAGGCTTCTCAGAGCTGAGAACAAGGTTGGCCTGACTTTAAATACATTTCTACAACTGATACGTTCACTATTGCTACGTGTAATGAAATTATTTGAAAGACATTTACTTGCATTCCTTGTGTAAGACAAATTGTTATACAGACTTTCACTCAGTGTCTTTTGTAATATAAATAAATTAGGTTTAGCTTAATCAATCTTCTTAATTAACTGATTAATGACTGACTAAATAGAATCCATATTTGTTATATTTACAGACTTGTATAAAATAAAATTTGAGACATGTATGGAAGTTCAAACTCCCAGACTAAACGGCGCAAGAAGCGTTTACTACAAGCAACAAAAACAGTGACAGTAGTTCGTGGAAAGTTGGGCTATGGTTTCACTATATCTGGCCAAAACCCCTGCATGTTGAGCTCTATTGTTGCTGGTAGCCCAGCACAAGCAGCAGGGCTGAAGCCTGGGGATCTCCTCTACTTTGTCAACGGACAGAATGTCAGCAGAGCCTTCCATGATGATGTTGTGCGCATGGTAGGGCTCTCCACAGGATCATTAGTTTTGCAGGTTAGTTTTTGAAACATTCGCTCTACACAGGATCATTAGTTTTGCAGGTTAGTTTTTGAAACATTGGCTCTCCACAGGATCATTAGTTTTGCAGGTTAGTTTTTGAAACATTCGCTCTCCACAGGATCATTAGTTTTGCAGGTTAGTTTTTGAAACATTCGCTCTACACAGGATCATTAGTTTTGCAGGTTAGTTTTTGAAACATTCGCTCTCCACAGGATCATTAGTTTTGCAGGTTAGTTTTTGAAACATTCGCTCTACACAGGATCATTAGTTTTGCAGGTTAGTTTTTGAAACATTCGCTCTACACAGGATCATTAGTTTTGCAGGTTAGTTTTTGAAACATTCGCTCTCCACAGGATCATTAGTTTTGCGGGTTAGTTTTTGAAACATTCGCTCTACACAGGATCATTAGTTTTGCAGGTTAGTTTTTGAAACATTCGCTCTACACAAAATAATTCTTCTATAAAAATGAGTTACCTTTTTACTGTTGGAAAGTTTGGAATTGCTCCCCCTACCCTAAGTACATGAAGTAGAAACAAATGATACAACATGTTGGTTTGAGGTGGGTTATAATACAACATTATGGTATGAAGGTGGTTTATTATACAGCAGTGTTATGGTGTGGAGGTGGTTTATTATACAATAATGTTATGGAGGTGGTTTATTATACAATAATGTTATGGTATGGAGGTGGTTTATTATACAACAAAGCTGTGGTATGGAGATTTTATATTTTGAAGTATAAATCTTTTACAAATCACCTACACTTTAAGTGTCTCAATTTCCCCACCAATCTCTTCATTTCTTTCCTAAAATCACTCAAATTCTACTGCCATGATTAAGGAATCCACAGTGTAGATTTCTACAGACTCTTTGTAAGCTGGTTTAGAAAACAGTCTGTCATATAACAAGAGCTATTTTGTTACTTCCTATCAGGTTGCAGAAAATGTAAACAGCTCCGATTCCTCTGATGATGACTACCCACCTCGCAGCAAGTCACGCTACCCAAATAGAGTTCGGCCTCGCAAGAATCATGGGGATAGAGTTTCTAAATATGACCGGGCTTCACGACAAGCTGACAACTTGCCAGCTCATCAGCGCCAGTACGCCCCCCAGGGTACAGAGTCAGACTTGTCCTCCAGCCTTACATCCCAGGAGGACCACGGCTGGACCCAGGGCTGGCCCAGGGTCAACCAGAGAGCGGCCCCAGAAGCAGGGCGAGGGTTCACCTATACTGCCGTACAAGATGGCCCTGTCATCTCTACAGCCAAGAAAGTCTCCTCTGCCTCTGCTGTAGTCAAAAAGGTCCCTCCCATGTCAGGACAGTCAGCTGAGACACACCCCTCCGTCTTACACAATAAAATTGTTGATCCAGTACCAACTCCCCAGATAGAAAAGTTGAATGTTAGGGCAGAGAAGGATGGTGAAGAGGTCCTGCTGCCGTTGGTGGAGCCTCTAAAAGCTGTTGTGGGCTACATTGGTTCAATAGAAACTCCAAGTTCTCACACTCGCCCGCACCAGCGCCTCCAAGCCTTACGCAATGCAGTTAGAAGGCTGAGAGTAGAGAAGAAGGTCCACACCCTGGTGCTGATCCAGGTCAGCCAGACGGCTGTTACCCTAACCAATGCACTGGGCAAGCAGCTAGCTCTGTACCCCAGTGACCGTATCGCCTTCAGTGGGATCTGTCCAGATGACGAGCGCTTCTTTGGGCTGGTGACCCTGAGTTTACCTGATGATGACACCAGCAGCTTGCTGGAGGGGGGAGGAAACACAAGCTTCCCTAACTCTTCCTGTCATGCCTTTATGATTGAACCAGAGTTAAGTCCCCACAGTATGCACCTGCAACAAGCTGAAGCCTTCCACGTAAGTCTGAAACTCTATGGGGAGGGTCTTGGCCAGTGTTAAGCTTATGAATTATCTTTTGCTGCATGTTTTCCCAGTCTTATCTGTTGAGCCCATTGGAAGTGTTACTGTGATATCGCCTTGCATCTCCTCAGATCAAGTGTAGCAGACAGTCCTTGGTTTGTGAAGAGTTTCCCAGCTCGGCCACCTCACTGATCCTGTCTATAGCCAGCCTGTACCGTCATGGACCGGCCAGAAAATTTGACAGCGAAATAGTTCAGTCTCAAGCTTTTGCTGAGCCCATCAGGCAAGCAGAGCGCAGCAATAGTATTGCTAGCAGCAATGGGAACAACAGCACCAGTGACAGTGGGCTGGGACTAGCTAGAGAGGAGGCCCCCCTGGAGCAGAATGAACAGGTAACTTTTCCTCTAGTCTCACACTGAACTGAAGATTTGCATGTCTATCATGTGTCTACTTTGACCTCAGAGATTTGCATGTCTATCATGTGTGTACTTTGACTTGAGAGATTTGCATGTCTATCATGTGTGTACTTTGACTTGAGAGATTTGCATGTATATCATGTGTGTACTTTGACCTCAGAGATTTGCATGTATATCATGTGTGTACTTTGACCTCACAGATTTGCATGTCTATCATGTGTGTACTTTGACCTCAGAGATTTGCATATCTATCATGTGTGTACTTTGACCTCAGAGATTTGCATGTATATCATGTGTGTACTTTGACCTCAGAGATTTGCATATCTATCATGTGTGTACTTTGACCTCAGAGATTTGCATGTCTATCATGTGTGTACTTTGACCTCAGAGATTTGCATATCTATCATGTGTGTACTTTGACCTCAGAGATTTGCATATCTATCATGTGTGTACTATGACCTCAGAGATTTGCATATCTATCATGTGTGTACTTTGACTGCAATTATTTCCAGATCTGTGTTGTGGACCTCCCATGTGACAGACAGTTAAACGCCAGCTGTTTCTCAGTAGACACAAGTGTCTTGTCTACTCAAGGCCATCTCTCTCCAGAAGTGGACGTGGTCAACCACACGCAGGGGTCAGCCACACCTCGGAGGCCATTGTCAGCTTTTGATCCCAGAAGAGGTGAGCTGGATGGTCATTATTAAACAACCTGTTGCCTTGGTAACAGATTAGCACTAGCCTAAAATCCTAGAGTCTTTGCTCCTTTGTTCTCAGAGAATGAAAGTTCTTGTATTAGTGGGTTAGTCCCAGCGGGTGGGTTCCTGGCCTAACAAATGTCTGCTTGCCTTCGTCAGGTTTGAACAACTCCAGCAGCAGTGAGGAGTGCTGGCACCATGTCAACAAGCTGAACCCCAGGGCCATGCCAGACCCCGCCTACCCCGGGGCGCAGAGTGTCAGCCCACTGCCCCAGTCTACAGAAAACTTGAGACAAAGCATGCAGCGCCTGTTGCAGGCTCGCCAGCAGCAGCTGCAGGAGCAGAACTGCATGCTGGGTAGTGATGGCGAGTCCCACGTGGGGGACCCAGTTCTCTCCCTCTCTGTGGCTGAAGATGGGCACGCTGTGCTTGAGGGCAGCGTTGGGCAGAAGGTGCAGGCGTTGTTTGCTGCCCCTGTTAGCGTGCCATCCACTGCCTCCGTCAGGTCAGCCTTCCAAGTGCCCAGACCCGTGTCAGCCCCACCTGTCAAGCACAGGTTCCACACCCAGCCAGAAACTGTGGACTTGGAGACTCTGGGCAAGCTCAGCCCCAGGGCCTACCCCAGCGCCTCACCCATGGCAGTTTTTCGCTCTCCATCCGCACCTCCGGCCCCATTTTTCCCACATCGAGATTCTGATGAGGATGAGGATGATGATGCAAGTTATAAAAGTGAAGATGACCCTTACATACGCCAGATTTTAGAACAATTCAGCCGAGACAAGATCTCTGCCTTAGAAGGAGAAAGTCGCAGATTTTCAGAAGGATTTGCTCTTTCAAAAAAGGTAGGATAGCTATCATTTTCTTTGTTAGATAGCCCTCATTTTTTTTGTTAGATAGCCCTCATTTGACAATGAAATAACTAATTAAATGCATATTAGACATACAAGCACTTAAAAAACTGAATGAATGGCATCACCAAAGTTCAATCAGAGGCTTTGATTATTATTGTTGACATGAACTAAAAAAAACATTTGTGTTAATTTTCTCTTTTGGGTAGCTATGTTTTAAAAAAAACTGGAATTAAAAAAAAAGTTTTAAGAATCAAAGTTATAAGTGTGCAAATGATATGTGAGTGTTATAAGTGTGCCAATGATATGTGAGTATTATAAGTGTGCAAATGATATGTGAGTGTTATAAGTGTGCAAATGATATGTGAGTGTTATAAGTGTTCAAATGATATGTGAGTGTTATAAGTGTGCCAATGATATGTGAGTGTTATAAGTGTGCCAATGATATGTGAGTGTTATAAGTGTGCAAATGATATGTGAGTGTTATAAGTGTGCAAATGATATGTGAGTGTTATAAGTGTGCAAATGATATGTGAGTGTTATAAGTGTGCAAATGATATGTGAGTGTTATAAGTGTGCAAATGATATGTGAGTGTTATAAGTGTGCAAATGAATATTTGAGTGTTATAAGTGTTCAAATGATATGTGAGTGTTATAAGTGTGCCAATGATATGTGAGTGTTATAAGTGTGCCAATGATATGTGAGTGTTATAAGTGTTCAAATGATATGTGAGTGTTATAAGTGTGCAAATGATATGTGAGTGTTATAAGTGTGCAAATGATATGTGAGTGTTATAAGTGTGCAAATGATATGCTGATAACTTGAAAATACTTTTTGCCTTTAAGGCTACATTTCTAATTACTGAAATGAAGCTGTCATTTGAACCTGGATTGACTTGAGTTAGACCAACTTTTATTGGCTTTAGTTTTCTAGAAGAAATGTTAACTAAACAGCACAACCTATTGATTGGCTTTAGTTTTCTAGAAGAAATGTTAAGTAAACAGCACAACCAATTGACCTAGACCTACTTATGTTCTGTTTGATAATTCAATGTGCCATTTGCACACAAAAAATGGATTTGCTTTTTAACCAAACTTGGTTTTGTCAAGGATAATATTCCAAACAACTCTGTTGAGTCTTTAGAAAATTCCTACACAAACCGCACATTTATGACCACATATTTTAACAACACGGCCCCATGCAATTAAAAAAAAAATTTATTGGCCTTTTGAGAGTATTGGTGTGTGTGTGTGTGTGGGGGGGGGGTGGCTAGTATGGCCATATAACAACAAAATGACATGCTCATAATAAAATTTAATATCAAGTAACTGATTCTTATTGTCGTGACGAATGGGCTAACCTACCTAGTCACGTGACGTACACATGATTACAGTTTTATAAACCAACAGAAAGCTTCAAGTGTAGAAATATTTGAACGGGTTGAAACCTCTAGTTTATCGAGAACTCTATAGGTTGAAACCTCTAGTTTATCGAGAACTCTATAGATTGAAACCTCTAGTCTATCGAGAACTCTATAGATCTACCCCTGTGCCATTTTTAAATTGCCATTGTCTGGTGGACAAAAGACGTAGTTGGAGTTACGGTTCTTAGGTCTCAAACAGCAGAATGACTGAATGACATTCGTGTTCCTTTGTCGTCTGCTAGAATAGAGGCTAATCACGCGATATGCAGACATGCCGCTTAAATAGGCTCTCACAACGGTTTGATTGTGCATCACAAGACTGCTAACTGTGTCCTCCAATGTTGGCCAGTTTGTCTCTAGTATTTCTCAGTCGTCATCCCAGTCGCTCGTTAGTCGTGCTATTTATTCTAGCCATTTCTTGTAGCAGACAAGGCGATAAGGTTATTTACGACATGAGGCCTTCAAACGATCACTGACTTTATTTATGACAGCCTTCGGTCCTAATATTTGTGACCTCATGTTGTCCTGTAACAAATTCCTTCGTCAATTCTTTCGTTTGGGTGCTGTGACAAAACCTATGTGCTGGGCGTGTCCTCCATGTAAAATATGTACTGGGCGTGTCCTCCATGTAAAATATGTGCTGGGCGTGTCCTCCATGTAAAATATGTGCTGGGCGTGTCCTCCATGTAAAATATGTGCTGGGCGTGTCCTCCATGTAAAATATGTGCTGGGCGTGTCCTCCATGTAAAATATGTGCTGGGCGTGTCCTCCATGTAAAATATGTACTGGGCGTGTCCTCCATGTAAAATATGTGCTGGGCGTGTCCTCCTTAAGACATGTAAAATATGTGCTGGGGGTGTCCTCCTTAAGACATGTAAAATATGTGCTGGGCGTGTCCTCCTTAAGACATGTAAAATATGTGCTGGGCGTGTCCTCCATGTAAAATATGTACTGGGCGTGTCCTCCATGTAAAATATGTGCTGGGCGTGTCCTCCATGTAAAATATGTGCTGGGCGTGTCCTCCATGTAAAATATGTACTGTGCGTGTCCTCCATAAGACATGTAAAATATGTGCTGGGCGTGTCCCCCATAAGACATGTAAAATATGTACTGGGCGTGTCCTCCATGTAAAATATGTGCTGGGCGTGTCCCCCATAAGACATGTAAAATATGTACTGGGCGTGTCCTCCATGTAAAATATGTGCTGGGCGTGTCCCCCATAAGACATGTAAAATATGTGCTGGGCGTGTCCCCCATAAGACATGTAAAATATGTACTGGGCGTGTCCTCCATGTAAAATATGTGCTGGGCGTGTCCTCCATGTAAAATATGTACTGGGCGTTTACTCTGTGTAAAATATGTACTGGGCGTTTCCTCCATGTAAAATATGTGCTGGGCGTTTCCTCCATGTAAAATATTAGCTGGGCGTGTCCTCCATGTAAAATATGTGCTGGGCGTGTCCTCCATCTAAAATATGTGCTGGGCGTGTCCTCCATCTAAAATATGTGCTGGGCGTGTCCTCCTTAAGACATGTAAAATATGTGCTGGGCGTGTCCTCCATAAGACATGTAAAATATGTGCTGGGCGTGTCCTCCATGTAAAATATGTGCTGGGCGTGTCCTCCATAAGACATGTAAAATATGTGCTGGATGTGTCCTCCATGTAAAATATGTGCTGGGCGTGTCCTCCATAAGACATGTAAAATATGTGCTGGGCGTGTCCTCCTTAAGACATGTAAAATATGTGCTGGGCGTGTCCTCCATGTAAAATATGTACTGGGTGTGTCTTCCATGTAAAATATGTGCTGGGCGTGTCCTTCATGTAAAATATGTGCTGGGCGTGTCCTCCATGTAAAATATGTACAGTGCGTGTCCTCCATAAGACATGTAAAATATGTGCTGGGCGTGTCCCCCATAAGACATGTAAAATATGTGCTGGGCGTGTCCCCCATAAGACATGTAAAATATGTGCTGGGCGTGTCCTCCATGTAAAATATGTGCTGGGCGTGTCCTCCATAAGACATGTAAAATATGTGCTGGGCGTGTCCTCATTGTGCTACCCGCATCACACATCATTGTGCTACTCTCTTGTGACACTTAATGTTTTTGTTAAAACGCTCTTCCAGATGCCTTTGATTTTTATAGTGCTTCTCCTTCTGCAAAGTGCTAATGGGAATTTTACAAAGACTACGCCAAATGCAATATCAGGTAATGGAACCTATATTGAAAATGGTAAGTTTATTAGCTTATCTAAATAGAAAATTTTACGAGACGTGTGACCTAAAATTGCATTGCGTTGCATTGCGTATTATTATAATATATAATTATGTTGTTTTCGTCAGATTCAAAAGGAACAGAAACCTGCACTCAATATATACCGTATGGTTCTATTTTTATCAATGTGACATTAGTATTGTTGCTGGCTGTGAGTGTTCCGTTTGCCTGCAAATATATAGTTGAAAAATGTAAAAAAAAAATGAAGCAAAAAATAATGTAGCTGTAGGCAAGTGTTCTCAAGAATTGGAAAATAGTCCACAAGGTATCTCTTTATGTCTCTCGATCAGAGTTTCTTTCAGACATTCAATAGATGACTCAAAGAAACTCTGCTTTCATTCTGTTTTTCTCTGTATTGTATAAGCGCGCTCTATTTTAAATCTGTCCGCTCGTCTATCTATCTGTCTGTCTACCTACCTATCTTATATATATATATATATATATATATATATATATATATATATATATATATATATATATATATATATATATATATATATATATATATATATATATATATATATATATATATATATATATATATTCAAATAAAGTAGAAATATTAAAGTATGTGTCTTAATTTCTACAAAATTGTATGTAATACATTTTATATTTTTGAAGAATCCACTGCATCAGCTGACCAGAGGGGTCGGCGTGGTCGAGTCGGTAAAGCTCATGGTTGCTAAACCGAAAAGTCTCGAGTTCGAACCCCCGGGCAGATGAGGCTCGTTAGCTGGGGACAGCCACTCTTCTAGGAGAGACAACTCCAAAATTAAACAACTGCTGCCTTGTAGTTTGTTCTTGGTTGGACAAAGGCTATGGAAGCAAATCCAAAAAGAAAAGCAGGCTGAAATCGGAGTCAATGGCCTCAATGGCGCATAACCAGTTGACACGTAACGCTTAATTGTGTTGGAGGCGTGGTCGAGTCGGCTAAAAGCTCATGGTTGATAAATTCGAACAGTCTCGAGTTCAACCCCACTGGCAGATAAATCTCGATCCCCTTCCACACTAATAATTAAGAACGAAGAAGAAGAAGAAGAAGCTGACCAGAATGATGGCAAAAAGCAGAAGGTATGTAGCTATTGAATTTTTTTTAATTAGCACCTAACTTCTGTTATTTGAATTAATTTATATTATTATGTAACACACTAAGTGTTTACGTGAACACCCAGCACGAGTCCACACAGCACTGTTCTTTATAGTACGGGTCTTCACACACTGTCTTCAAACAGGGGTCTTGAAACACTAAGGGTCCATATATCACAAAGACATGCTCCGTACGAAAATCATATCGATGAAACTTAACTGGTTTAGATAGCTATAGATTTTGCTGACTGGATGTTATATATCCGCCGACTGGCTGCTGAGTTCTTTTAAGCTATCCCACCATGTTATACTTCCCCACCATGTTATAACTGGGGTCTATGTATCCTGATGTTATTGTTATGCAGTGAGAGGGTCAATTCTACCATTAAGTTCATCTCTAACCAATTCAGTAATTCTGATAAAAACTACGACATCAACGACGGTGAGAAATGACTTATTAAGATGACATTATGTAACTTTACTATTTATTGCACCACAATAATACATAGGACGACTTGAAGAAACGATACTGAGACATGACTACATACACAACAAGACAAAGACTCCATAACCTTCTTCCCCTGGCAACAACGATCACATTCTTGAGTACCGCATCACACCTTCAAGCATTCATTATCTCTTTCGCACCAATATTTGTTCGCACCAACATGCCTGATCAAACACACGTCATAACATTATATGAATGGCTACAATATAATATACTAATTCAAAGTATTAGGGGAGGAGGGGGTGAAAAGTCACAAACTTCACTTTTTAGGAAACTAAGACAAGAATCGTAAACCTTTAACAATGCCAATGCACCAGATAATAGTTCCACACTTCAGATAACTGTGTGCAGAGCCGTTTGGAATAGCTGTTCACGGTATGCTGATGACATTTTAGAACTGTGACATTTTACCCCAGTGCGGGGTCAAAAAGTCACATGCCTAGGGTGAAAAGTCACACATTTTCAAATGTTACATGCATGGTCGAGTCGGCAAAGCTCATGGTTGATAAATTCGAAAAAAGTCTCGATTTCAAACCCTCTGGCAGATAAGGCTCGATCCCTCCCAACACTAAAAATTAAGAACGAAGAAGAAGAAGAGACAAATGTTACATGGTTGAATCTATTTAATCCCAAAGGACATTTTTTTGTCATTGAAAATATTTTCCCTTTAAAATCGTGAATATTAATGAATGTTTAGATTTTTTGTCTGTGTGTGTCTGTAAAAATGAGGACCAGATTCGTAATTATTACAAGATTGAAATGAAACAGTAAAAGATTAATTGTAAGCATTTTATTGTGGACAAAAAAAATTGTAAGGCTTCCTTTTAGTTAACAGTTAAATAATATTGAGGCTGCATATTTCACGATGTCTTCAATGAACACAAGGTCACTCTTCTTGCGTTTTGTACCAGAAATATCAGACTTTGTCAGCAAAGTAATGATGTCTTTTTTATTCACAGACAATACTTCGTCAGTTTAGAAGTTTATGAATTTTTTCACCTTTTCATTTCTTTTAAGGTATTTAACCTTAAAGTCCCCTTCTTCGTCCTTCTGTTTCTTTACTATTCCTGTATAGATGGCAGTCGACCTTTTGCCCTTGCACCTAAAGACAATAGACCGGAGCGGTCTAGTGGTAGAGAGCTGGACTGCTAACCCGTAAGTCTCGAGTTCGAATCCGGGTTCAAGTCAGTAGACCGTCCCTGAGTCCACCCAACTGTGATGGGTACCTAACTCACGTTAGGGAAAGTAAAGGTGCCTGGGCATAGTGCTGACCACACTATCTCTTCACAGAAACAAGTGAACTCTACTTCACTTGCCCCATAGACCGTCAGGTTTGAAAGGGAAACTTTACTTTTACTTTAGTTACCTAAACAAAATAAAAACCCCAACCATGGTTCCAACATCTACCTCGCTCATACAAGACACTACCAAGTCATAATCGATTTCATCATCAACGATCTATGTAAATTTATCGTCATCCATTTATTCAGACATTTTTCTCTAGAGCAGTGTTGGCCTCATCGTCATCATCTGACTCATAACATAACATCTTTGGTTTGCAAGAACCACCAGCAAGTCCAGATACGATGTTTGCTGACGTGAATGCTTTGAGAAAAGCGTACGAAACTATGTGATACAGAGTAAATGGACATCTGCTTGCCAGCATTAACACGATCTTTGCACCACATATTCACAGCACGGTCATTATACAACTGGAATGGTCCATAGACTGATTCATCCAGTGGTTGCATTTCTTGCAAGCAATGGGGGGGGGGGGGGGGGGGGGGGAATGACAAGAGAGTGACGGGGTTTTCTCTGCAAAAGGTAATTGCATCTTCACTACAGTGAAATGGTCTTTTGATGGCTTCGCATGTGGGGCAAATTGCAGAAGAAATTTAATAAAGTTCTCAGACGTCATCCACCCGGATGTCTATGGGGGAGAATCGCATTGTGTTTCTGGGGGGGGGGGGGGGCACCTAGGTTCCAGTGATCATGAACGTTGACTCTGGGGAAGATCAGGAATAGTGGCATGCTATTTCCTATGGTATTTACCGCTCCACATGGTGTGACGGTGCTACCTTTCTCATGTGACACAATGAAGCCTACACGTTTTTTTCGCCTTTCTTTGCTAGTTGTCGCTGAGGCGTTTGTACAGTGGAACACCCAGTTTCGTCAATGTTCCAAATGCATTCTGGCCGAAACTTATGATGTTTCTCTACCACTTTCTCCAGGCTATGTAATGTTGCCTCGGGACTTCGCAGAGATAGCTTGTCCTTGCGACGTTGCCCGAATGCCTTCAGCCCATCCTCTCCTGCAGTTTTCGCAGAGGACCAGGTTTCTGACATGAGAATCTTGTTGGCAACAGCAACTTTATAGGCTAGTTTGTGAAATTCTCTCAGTTAGGCCATAGTAGATTGAAGAGGCTTCAAGGATGTAGTCCAGCAAAACTTGTTCTTGCTCACCTGAGAAGATGCGCTTCTTCTACGTACTGTAGCCAAAAGTTGCCTTCTCAATGTTGCCGTCTGTTTTATGCTGCTTTACATATCATTGAAAGGCCTTATAATTAGCCCCACAGACGGATTCAGCTTTACGGAGCGATTTTTCTTCAAAATGATCTGCAACTGCAATCTCCATGGCATGTTTCATAAATGTTCCTCGTGATGTCTTGCGCTGGTATGGTCTTGTCATGATTCTGTGAAGAAAAAAAGCATGTTAAACGCCTTTGACTAAATTCAAAGATACAATTTAAAGACAAAAAATTCAGAGATTGCATATGTAATGATTGGACTATAAAGATTATTATTACTGAGTAAAATTATATATTTATTACTACTACTACTACTGGACTTGCCTATCATTATTTTATTCACTGTCTACAATAGTATACATGCTGGGGGAATATAATGACTTAAGCTTTTGGAAATTCAAGAAAGAAAAAAGAAAAATATTTTGCATGTTTTGTAGTCTTTTTTATTGAATGACCGGGGTGAAAAGTCACACCCAAAAAAAAGGCTGAATTTTCACCCCATGGACTGTGACTTTTCACCCCAGCAGGGGGTTTTCATATAAAATGATCCACACTTTCAAATCAATTTCTCAGAAGTAGAAACAATCCAGACTGTCGTTATTATGCCTTGAGAAAATAAACATTGCATGAAAACACAAACATCATTAAAGATGCAAGCATACTTACAGGATTCCATTGATTGAATTTCCCACTTTGTCATGAAAATAAGTACAAGTGGTTCTGAAATCAGTTCCGTTTCAGAAAGTTAAAACAGGAAGTGAACTCCAAGCAGGGTAAACACTAAACGATTAAAAACAATAATTTTCTTGATAAAGAAATGAAAAAATATGTTCTTCAAGGCAAAAACTTGCAGTGATTTTTCACCCCTGTGACTTTTCACCCCCTCCTCCACCTAAATGTTAATTAAATTGTGCTAACAATTATTATTCGAAAAATCAAATGAAGCTTAAAGCTAAATGGCATAAACATTGGCTGTTTAGGCTTAGTTGGTGTTGTGCAGTAGTGTTTGAAGTATACAAGAAATGCAGAGGAGCTATTATAGGTGGATGAATGTTATTGACTTCAACATATCTAAACCTCTCCACAACACCACAGCGTCCTTTATACTTTGTAACACTCGACAAAGAATACACTTCGTTCAGTAATCAAAACATGTTAAGTCCTAACCGTCAACACACATAGCTTCTCCTTGCATTCATCTTGGTGGTCCTCCGAACATCTCAAGTACCCCGATAATATAGCCCTATATTCACTCCCTTCAGTCAGTGAGCGATATCTAAAAAGCATGCAAAATTAAATATAGTAATTGATCGTTACGCATTTACTTCCATTGGCCAGGTTGTCAACTTGCACACACGTTTCACTGCAAATACAATTCACCAAATACTTTCTGTTCCATACTTGTTTATCCGAATTTGCCACAGTTCGGTAGTCACTTTAAAACAAATAGGTAGATATGTCAAAAAAATAGCTAGTTACAGATGTCAATTACAGATATCTAATTTGTAATCATTTAATGCATGAAATGACATATTAAAGAATATTTCTGTTTTTCTCTCTCACCAGATTGAAAAAGAAGCTGGGCAATTGAGCATTTTGATCAAGGAATTAGAGCTCAGGGCAGGTTTTAAAATGAAAGAGATAGCTTGTCCTTGCGACCTTGCCTGAATGAAATACTACCCACATGACCTATCCATAATTGTCAGCTACATATTTGTACTTTTATTAGAGCGTATTAATTTAGGCTTATTAGTGATTCATTATTTTCAGTTGTTTGAATTTATTAGTCTGCTTTAAAGGATACCTTTTATTATTAATTTCAATATTATAATTAGGTCTGTCAGGCAGTTATGGCTAGTTACATAAGAGGAGTCTCTCAACCATTACCTGTGCGGAGTGATTATAAAAAACTAAAGTAGTCAGGTAGACTTGATGGCCACACCTCAAAGAAAAATAAAAATTACCACGGCAACATTCCAGCACAAAATGTTAAAGCAGCCAGGGTGTACCTGTTTGGAGATTCAGTTGCGGAAGAAGATGATGACAATGTTGAATATGAAATGAGATCTCGTCATAAAAAAGGTGCCACCTATGACGGAGGTTTATTGCAAGACCAACCACAGTATTTTGAAAAAGAAATAATTGAAGGTGAAACACTTCAGGCCATAGCTCTCAGATATGCCTGCCAGGTACGTCTAATTGTTTTATTGCCATGGGATTTCAATTCAATTTCAGTAAGGATACTTAAATAGCAGGAGTTTTTCAAACATTAATTTCATTAGAAATTATACCCTTAAATCAAGAGTTTTATGGTCTCAAAGTTATTAAAGTCCCAATGACCAGGTTTGGTGTTCTTTCTGAACAGTTTTCCAGAGGAAATAACAGACTCAAGTCAAGCAGATTTCCTTCGAGTGCAAGAGAGAATGAAAATGCTGAAGAAGTGTTTTTGGACAATCACTTTGATGACACTGACTCTCAGCATGACTTTAGTGACCCTGACACACAGCTGAAGATTTTAAGGACTTTGAGCATACGAGAAAACTTTTCAGCCGAGGGGAAAGAAGCAGAAAAATTTCTCAACAAAATGGACGAAGATTTAAAAAAGTTTAAGCAGTCGTCTCACCGGCCGGAGCGTGAATCCTTGACAGAAGTGATCTCAGTATTGACTAACAAAAGCATCCACCCCCTGATGACCAATAGACCTAAGAAATCTAGCGGCGCTGACTGCGGTTTAAGCTGGTGGTCCATCATCATCATCTCTTTAACTGTAACAATCATTTTACCTTCTATAGGCTTGATATACTACTTCTTCTATTATCATTCTCATTCATAGCACAAAATGTGACATCAGTTCATTTTTGCTAGCTTTTTAACATACCAGTACAGCTGAGTTGAGCTTGATCAAATTAGGATAATTTTGTTAAAAATGTCTTACAAATGGTTGATAAACCTTTGGAATTGTTACTGTTACTATGTTTGCAGTTCTTGTCAGTTGTCAAAATGTGTATAGTGAGTACTTGCAACCATATGGCCATGTTTCCTAGGGCATTTAAATTTATCTCAAGATGTTTAACATATCCCATTCATGTTTAAATGAACCTGACTATATTCCAGACTCCACGTGGCACCAACATATCTCCAATGGTATTGTCTTTTTATTTCCATTATTTAAAATACATGTAATGACGTACATTTTATCTAAGAAGTGACTGGCCTATTAAAGCTAAGAATGTTGAGGTATTATATAACGTATAGTCTTTTCTTTAATTTAGATTACTAATTAAAGCTAAGAATGTTGAGGTATTATATAACGTAGTCTTTTCTTTAATTTAGATTTAAAACATTTGTTAAGTAAAATATCTGCTGTTTATTTTATTTTAGGTGGTCATATGGTGGATATAATTCTAAGTTAATTTTTTAAATAATTATCATTAAAAAAGTTTAAAAAAAACCCACGTTTTCTGATTGAAATAAAAAGTAGAAAATACATGCTATACATCACAATAATGCAAGCGATCACTCTACTATAAGCGATGAAAAACGTGGGGCGCCGAAGTAAAAGTTTTTTATTGGTCATTGTTAATATAAGATGTAAAAGTTATATTACTATTGATTAGATAATGCTATTGATTTATATTAGGGAGCTTGTAGAGAGTCAACAGTATTAGAAACTGTAAGAAAATCACGGCGCCCCACGTTTTTCATCGCTTATAGTAGAGTGATCGCTTGCATTATTGTGATGTATAGCATTTATTTTCTACTTTTTAGTTCAATCAGAAAACATGGGTTTTTAAAAACTTTTTTAATGATAATTATTTTCTACTTTTTAGTCTTTGTCTGTTTGTTTGCATTCAAATCTTGCTATCGATTTGATCTTCTCGCATTCACTTTTTTTTTTGGGTAAACGAAGACAACTCGTAAAAAACACGTGCCTTTTCCAATCGACGTTTCTTATGTGTTGGATTTGCATAGGTTTGTACACAAACACCGCGTGACCACAACTCAGTAAGCCTGAAGAGGGAAAGTACCTAACCTTGTTTTCATCAAATTACAATTACTGGGTTATGTCCCCTTTTCCCACGTTTTTTGTACAAATATATAGGGGTCTAAAATGATCAATAAAATGTTTCCATGGATCAATTTAGTAATAATAACAATTGAATATTCTATTGTCATCGGAAACAAAGCTTCCCTGAAAATTTCAGCGCGCTAGCTAACTGGGAAGTGCCCGAAATTTCGATCGCAAGATTTGATTGGATAACCAAAGAAACAGACGCAAAAGCAAGTTAAAGAAAACGTGGGAAAAATCAGAATATGTGTACCTTGGCCTTTATAAAATGTCTAATAATCTTATGATTATCTTTAATAATCCTGTAAATAAATCAAGTTGTTGATTAGAATCTTCTAAACCCATTTGTCTATGTCCTCAGTGAGGACCTTTGACTAGAGTATAAATATAACTTACATCAGTTTTACATGATATATTTTATATACCTATTATTTCGCTAAGAAAATCTCACATATGCATGTAATATTGTGATACATCTTTATTCACATATTCAGCTAATGCTTAAGTGCCTTCTTTCATGTACACAACCTGAACCAATGTTGAATTATTTTTATCTTTAAAACTGTTGATAAAATCAAGATCTAAATTTGATATTTTAATGATTGTTGATGTTATGATGTGGTGTTATGTTTATGATGTGGTGCTAATGTAGTATGCCTTTGTGCTATTTTCAAATATGTAACATAGAATGCTGTACTTTTAAAAATGTGTATAGAATATTTGTTATTGTTTCATAGAGGATGGTCTCTTTTGAGTCATCTGTTAAATTGTAAGATATTTTCTTTGTATGGTTCCATGTTTCTTGAGACAAAGATGCTTGTGTGAACAACAGTTTCTTTGTTACAGTGCCATCTCTGGTGTGGTCAGTTGTGGGTACAGTACCATTTGTGGTGTGGTCAGTTGTGGGTACAGTGCCATCTCTGGTGTGGTCAGTTGTGGGTACAGTGCCATCTCTGGTGTGGTCAGTTGTGGGTGGGTACAGTGCCATCTCTGGTGTGGTCAGTTGTGGGTACAGTGCCATCTCTGGTGTGGTCAGTTGTGGGTACAGTGCCATCTCTGGTGTGGTCAGTTGTGGGTGGGTACAGTGCCATCTCTGGTGTGGTCAGTTGTGGGTACAGTACCATCTCTGGTGTGGTCAGATGTGGGTGGGCACAGTGCCATCTCTGGTGTGGTCAGTTGTGGGTGGGTACAGTGCCATCTCTGGTGTGGTCAGTTGTGGGTACAGTGCCATCTCTGGTGTGGTCAGTTGTGGGTACAGTGCCATCTCTGGTGTGGTCAGTTGTGGGTGGGTACAGTGCCATCTCTGGTGTGGTCAGTTGTGGGTACAGTACCATCTCTGGTGTGGTCAGTTGTGGGTACAGTGCCATCTCTGGTGTGGTCAGTTGTGGGTACAGTACCATCTCTGGTGTGGTCAGTTGTGGGTACAGTGCCATCTCTGGTGTGGTCAGTTGTGGGTACAGTACCATCTCTGGTGTGGTCAGTTGTGGGTACAGTGCCATCTCTGGTGTGGTCAGTTGTGGGTACAGTGCCATCTCTGGTGTGGTCAGTTGTGGGTACAGTGCCATCTCTGGTGTGGTCAGTTGTGGGTACAGTGCCATATCTGGTGTGGTCAGTTGTGGGTACAGTGCCATCTCTGGTGTGGTCAGTTGTGGGTGGGTACAGTGCCATCTCTGGTGTGGTCAGTTGTGGGTACAGTGCCATATCTGGTGTGGTCAGTTGTGGGTACAGTGCCATATCTGGTGTGGTCAGTTGTGGGTACAGTGCCATCTCTGGTGTGGTCAGTTGTGGGTGGGTACAGTGCCATCTCTGGTGTGGTCAGTTGTGGGTACAGTGCCATCTCTGGTGTGGTCAGTTGTGGGTGGGTACAGTGCCATCTCTGGTGTGGTCAGTTGTGGGTACAGTGCCATCTCTGGTGTGGTCAGTTGTGGGTACAGTGCCATCTCTGGTGTGGTCAGTTGTGGGTGGGTACAGTGCCATCTCTGGTGTGGTCAGTTGTGGGTACAGTGCCATCTCTGGTGTGGTCAGTTGTGGGTACAGTGCCATCTCTGGTGTGGTCAGTTGTGGGTACAGTGCCATCTCTGGTGTGGTCAGTTGTGGGTGGGTACAGTGCCATCTCTGGTGTGGTCAGTTGTGGGTACAGTGCCATCTCTGGTGTGGTCAGTTGTGGGTGGGTACAGTGCCATCTCTGGTGTGGTCAGTTGTGGGTGGGTAAGTGCCATCTCTGGTGTGGTCAGTTGTGGGTACAGTGCCATCTCTGGTGTGGTCAGTTGTGGGTGGGTACAGTGCCATCTCTGGTGTGGTCAGTTGTGGGTACAGTACCATTTGTGGTGTGGTCAGTTGTGGGTGGGTACAGTGCCATCTCTGGTGTGGTCAGTTGTGGGTGGGTACAGTGCCATCTCTGGTGTGGTCAGTTGTGGGTACAGTGCCATCTCTGGTGTGGTCAGTTGTGGATGGGTACATTGCCATCTCTGGTGTGGGTGGGTACAGTGCCATCTCTGGTGTGGTCAGTTGTGGGTGGGTACAGTGCCATCTCTGGTGTGGTCAGTTGTGGGTGGGTACAGTGCCATCTCTGGTGTGGTCAGTTGTGGGTACAGTGCCATCTCTGGTGTGGTCAGTTGTGGGTGGGTACAGTGCCATCTCTGGTGTGGTCAGTTGTGGGTGGGTACAGTGCCATCTCTGGTGTGGTCAGTTGTGGGTGGGTACAGTGCCATCTCTGGTGTGGTCAGTTGTGGGTACAGTGCCATCTCTGGTGTGGTCAGTTGTGGGTGGGTACAGTGCCATCTCTGGTGTGGTCAGTTGTGGGTGGGTACAGTGCCATCTCTGGTGTGGTCAGTTGTGGGTGGGTACAGTGCTATCTCTGGTGTGGGTGGGTACAGTACCATCTCTGGTGTGGTCAGTTGTGGGTGGGTACATTGCCATCTCTGGTGTGGGTGGGTACAGTGCCATCTCTGGTGTGGTCAGTTGTGGGTACAGTGCCATCTCTGGTGTGGTCAGTTGTGGGTGGGTACAGTGCCATCTCTGGTGTGGTCAGTTGTGGGTACAGTGCCATCTCTGGTGTGGTCAGTTGTGGGTGGGTACAGTGCCATCTCTGGTGTGGTCAGTTGTGGGTACAGTGCCATCTCTGGTGTGGTCAGTTGTGGGTGGGTACAGTGCCATATCTGGTGTGGTCAGTTGTGGGTACAGTGCCATATCTGGTGTGGTCAGTTGTGGGTGGGTACAGTGCCATCTCTGGTGTGGTCAGTTGTGGGTGGGTACAGTGCCATCTCTGGTGTGGTCAGTTGTGGGTACAGTGCCATCTCTGGTGTGGTCAGTTGTGGGTGGGTACAGTGCCATCTCTGGTGTGGTCAGTTGTGGGTGGGTACAGTGCCATCTCTGGTGTGGTCAGTTGTGGGTACAGTGCCATCTCTGGTGTGGTCAGTTGTGGGTACAGTGCCATCTCTGGTGTGGTCAGTTGTAGGTGGGTACAGTGCCATCTCTGGTGTGGTCAGTTGTGGGTACAGTGCCATCTCTGGTGTGGTCAGTTGTGGGTGGGTACAGTGCCATCTCTGGTGTGGTCAGTTGTGGGTACAGTGCCATCTCTGGTGTGGTCAGTTGTGGGTGGGTACAGTGCCATCTCTGGTGTGGTCAGTTGTGGGTACAGTGCCATCTCTGGTGTGGTCAGTTGTGGGTGGGCACTGTGCCATCTCTGGTGTGGTCAGTTGTGGGTGGGTACAGTGCCATCTCTGGTGTGGTCAGTTGTGGGTGGGTACAGTGCCATCTCTGGTGTGGTCAGTTGTGGGTACAGTGCCATCTCTGGTGTGGTCAGTTGTGGGTACAGTGCCATCTCTGGTGTGGTCAGTTGTGGGTGGGTACAGTGCCATCTCTGGTGTGGTCAGTTGTGGGTACAGTGCCATCTCTGGTGTGGTCAGTTGTGGGTGGGTACAGTGCCATCTCTGGTGTGGTCAGTTGTGGGTGGGTACAGTGCCATCTCTGGTGTGGTCAGTTGTGGGTACAGTGCCATCTCTGGTGTGGTCAGTTGTGGGTACAGTGCCATCTCTGGTGTGGTCAGTTGTGGGTGGGTACAGTGCCATCTCTGGTGTGGTCAGTTGTGGGTACAGTGCCATCTCTGGTGTGGTCAGATGTGGGTGGGCACAGTGCCATCTCTGGTGTGGTCAGTTGTGGGTGGGTACAGTGCCATCTCTGGTGTGGTCAGTTGTGGGTGGGTACAGTGCCATCTCTGGTGTGGTCAGTTGTGGGTACAGTGCCATCTCTGGTGTGGTCAGTTGTGGGTGGGTACAGTGCCATCTCTGGTGTGGTCAGTTGTGGGTGGGTACAGTGCCATCTCTGGTGTGGTCAGTTGTGGGTACAGTGCCATCTCTGGTGTGGTCAGTTGTGGGTACAGTGCCATCTCTGGTGTGGTCAGTTGTGGGTACAGTGCCATCTCTGGTGTGGTCAGTTGTGGGTGGGTACAGTGCCATCTCTGGTGTGGTCAGTTGTGGGTGGGCACTGTGCCAAAAGTCATAATAAATGTAGTCTGACATGTTACTATGGTAACACATTCACATAAAGCATGTTCTATCAGAGTGAAATCAGCAGTGGAGGAAGTGCTCATTTTATGGCTTGAAATGTTTCAGCTGGGAGGTGGACTGTTGGTTTAATTGGCCGTTTTTTCTACTCCAATTCTTAATTTGATTGTTGAAGTATACCACCATACTTATTGCATCTGCCCTTTGCCACCAGAGTTTAAAAAAATACAAATCTGTGATTATTTTTCTTATAATTCTCAATTGTTGATTTTTTCTATTTAATTGTTTATTTAATGTTTAAAATTTTGTTTTGCTATTAATTTATAAAACATAATATTAATTTTTTGGGTGAAATGTTTATTTAGTTGTTTTAACAATCATGTTTTAAAACTACAATATGCTTTAACAATGAATATTTATTTAAATGAATGATTTGATGTTTAACTATTTCACACATTGTGAGATGTATAAAAAGGGTTGAACACTTCTTCAGGGAATTTTTCACCTTCCATTTCAAGTGGTGTCATGTCATGTGGTGTCATGTCATGTGGTGTTATGAGATTAGATGTAGATTAGTGCACACACCACCGTTGTTGTAGCTAAGAAATAGTTCACAAAAAATGAATACTATGGGTGGGTAAGCCAAAATTTCAAAACTAGTCACTATTTTAATTATGCGCACACTTGAGTATAACTCAGACTTAAGCTGAGGCGACTGAATATTGGTTTGTTCCAAAGTTCACCTTTTCATCAATTTTAAAACCACTGGCAGCATTTGTTTAAGGCATCTAGTTTTTAAATCCACCTATTTATGGTTTTACTTTGTGACAATTTAAATCATCTTAAGGTGGCCCATCCACATTATGGTTTCATTTTGTAATTGTGAACATTTAAATAAATTACTTATTTCTTACGGTGGTCAAAATGTTTATTGAGATTATTAATATTATTGTGAATGGGTTAACTCATTATGTTGGTACAGGAAATAAAAGATGTTTACTTCAGTGTGTTCAGTGCTGGTATATACAGGTTGACATGGGTATATTAAAACTGTATTTTTTAAGTTAGTTTGGGTTTGAACAAAAACTAGTTTATAGTCAAATCACATTAGGTAGCTTTTATTTCTTAAGTAAAACAACAAAAATGTATTTACAATCAACCAAAACAGATTTACTTCAGTCCACTCTACTCAGCTATGCAACATGTCCAATATTCACACCACACACATCATGAGCTAGTCAACAACAATCCTTGATAATGAGATGCCAGTTAATATGTTGGTCCTTCATCATCGTCTTCATCATCATCACCGTATCCTTCTCCATTATCAAAATAATCCAAGTTATAATCTGTTTCCTAGTTTTGAAAAAAAAAAAAATCACAAAATATTTTTCAAAATAAACTAAATGTATAAAAGCTACAACAATGAAGGAAGTTAAAGCTAGCTTTAGATGATAATCATCTACTACCATACAGTCTTTTTAAAGAACATAATTTTTTTGACATTTTTTGAAGGCTTTTATTACGTTTACTAAGTACGTTTGTTTGTGTCTCCGCAAATCTTGGAAAATTAATTTTACCCACTTTTCCATTTGTCTGATTCAGCTGGAAGTGTTAGATATTTGATTTCATATGAAGGCTGAATATATTCCCTTTCATAGGGAGTTTATTGAAAGATTAACGTTCTATAACATGATGTGTGTTTAATTTTCATCAAGCACCCAAGTTTTTTAGTCATACCAGCATATACTTCATATAGCTTTAATAAGGTTACCATAAAGACCATGCAGAAAGGGAAAGAAAAGTTTCAAGGAATCAGGACAAAATTTATCTAGATGAGTATTTTGTAGGCATTTTTCTTATATTATAGTACATTTTTTTTCACTTATTATTTATGAATATTGAGAAATATTGTCTATAAATATATTTTATTATTCTGTATTCTACCAAGTTCTGATTATTATCACTTGTGTTACCTCTTCTATTTCTTCATCATCAAGTTCCTCTTCATCATCCTCATCTCCTTCTTCTTTTTCTGTCTTCTTCTCTTCATCATCCCCTTCCTCATGAGCTTCTATGTCTTCTAGATTTTCTGTCTTGGCATCACCTTGTTCAAGTTTCTAGAACACAAACAGTAGATCAAACTTAAAGAAAATCAGAAATAAAACAACAGTAGATCATACTTTAAAAATTACAAATAATAAAATAGATCATACTTAAAAGTCAGAAATAAAACAACAGTAGATCACACTTTAAAAAATAGAAATAATAAAATAGATCATACTTAAAAATCAGAAATAAAACAACAGTAGATCACACTTTAAAAAATAGAAATAATAAAACAGAGTAGATCACACTTAAAGAAAAATCAGAAATAATAAAATAGTAGATAAAAATCAGTCAACAAAAGTAAAGAGAGTGAATTAACATTTACAACATAGGGTGTGTTAACATTAGTAAAGAGTGAATTAACATGTGCAACAGTAAAGAGAGCGAATTAACATGTGCAACAGTAAAGAGAGCGAATTAACATTTACAACAGTAAAGAGAGAGTGAATTAACATTTACAACAGTAAAGAGAGAGTGAATTAACATTTACAACAGTAAAGAGAGAGTGAATTAACATTTACAACAGTAAAGAGAGTGAATTAACATTTACAACAGTAAAGAGAGTGAATTACATTTACAACAGTAAAGAGAGAGTGAGTTACCATTAGTAAAGAGAGACATATTGACAACAATAGAGAGAATGGACAGTTGTGTGCAGACCAACCTCCAGTAACTTGGATACATCTTCATCTCTGGATAACTTTGGAAGTTTGGCTGTGTTTCTAGCGCCTGCTACAGGTTTCTTTCTCTTCACTCGTTCTTGTAATTCAGCAGGAAACCGTGACCAGTCTAGGGAAATAATTCATTCAATCAAGTCAATTAACTGTCCCAAATACTGGACTCTGTGAATTGTTAGAGCAGGATTAACTTTTATATGAATCAGGTTGGCTATGCCACTAATAAATAAGAAAGAAGTTTGGGAATATGAATAATAATTAATCAATATACAAGTACCCCTTGCAAAGCTGGCAAACCACATACTGACCAGAAAAATGTTTTACAAGCAGGGTAAAAAGAATAAATTTACCTGGTGACCAGCCAGGCATAGAATCAGTTGTACCAAGCTGGTATTTATCCGAATATCTTTCTATGTCTTTTATTTTATTAGGTGCTTTGATATAACAAGGAGATTTGTGGAATGACTCTCTCAACTCTTGCTTCAGTGCCAACATGTAATCCATATCATCACTTTGAGATAAAGGCACTGGCTTGTACATTAAAGGCTGTAAGAATGTAGGCACTAGATATGAATATCGTGATTAAATGCAAAAATTATTTGGTGATTAATCCATAGAGACTTTTATAGTTAGTGTGTTTTTTGTGTGCATAACTATCATGCTAACTAACTATATGCAACAAGAATTTAAAAATGAATACTTACAGGATAAAGAGGGGGCGGGTGTGCAACAGTTGGTAAAATTTCTCCTCGTCCTAAACCAAGTGCTTCTATATTGATGGACATACCCCGCCCTCTGCCTCTTCCTCTGCCACCCATTTTTTTATGTTTATAAGCTAACTATGTCCCAGTAGGGACAACAGACAAACCTAACCTAACCTATAAGCTAACTATTTCTTAAGTTACAATTATTTAAAAACATTTTAATATTCTGCAAAAAAAGAAATTAAAAAAAAAAGATTAGTTTAGGGCTATGGGTAATTTATTTATGAAGTTCATAAAATAATTTGAATTCCTGATAAAACCCTTAAGCGTATACTGATGTTAAAGCACAGTCCTCATGCATCCATACCCTCCCTTCTATGTCACAATGTAGTCATCAAAAATAGATGTTCTTTTGAGTCTTTTGACACATAAGGTCTACAATAGTCTACATCAGGGGTCTCCAAACTACGGCCCGCGGACCAGATGCGGCCCGTGAGGTCCTATCATCCGGCCCGCTGCAATATTTTTGTCCACGGAATAAATGTTTGTTAGTGGTGGCTGAGAAGCTATGCCCAGAAAATTAAAAACAATTTGAAAATGTAGCTTTGAGTGCAAATACCATTGCCCGCCATGTTGCAGACATTGGTGAAAACATCGTGACTCAAACAGTGAAAAATGCAAGCAAGTTTCGCAATTTTTTAATTGTAATGGATCAGTTGCTGGACAGCTGTTCCACATCTCAACTGCTTATGTTGATTAGAGGTGTGGATGAAGACATAAACATAACACAAGAGCTGGCTTCCCTATATAGAATGAATATAGATAGTTCAGAGACAGTTCAAAGATGAACTGCAGCTGGAGGTCATTAGAGACACATTCAAAGAAGGGCGGCTGGGTTTTTATAAGTTTTTGCAAAAGGGAGATTTTCCTAATATTAAAACTTTTGCATCAAAGTACCGTTCAATTTTTTGAACAAGATACCTGCGTGAACAAACACTTTCAAGAATGAAATATGTGAAGAACAATTTGAGTGCAAACTTGGACAGCGAGTGTGTTGTAGGCCACCAACAGTGTTTCTTTCAGACTTTTTTCTCTCCAAGGGGGGGGGGGACACTTGAAATTTGTATATATTTCTTTATAAATTATATTTCGTTAAGGGGGGAGGGACGGGGGAACGGGACGGTACACGTTTTTCGGGGGGGGGGGGCGCTACCACCCCAAAAAGATGTCTTGAAGAAACTCTGCCCCCCCCCCCCCCCCAACTGATATTTCAAATTTGGGTAATCTATCGTTTTGGCAGATTCTAGAGTAGATCTAGATCTAGATTCTAGTACTAGACTAGATAAAAACTAGATTCTAGATCTAGTAGTAGTAGTAGTCTAGTACTAGATCTAGTTAATGCGGCCCTCGGGCTGAAAAGTTTGGAGACCCCTAATCACTAATCTAGATCTAGCTATACTTTATACTAATTTATAGTGTAGACTGGAGAAATATATAGATCTAGCCTAGATATAATATTAAAATTAATTATTTATTAGTGTGTTACATTAGTAATAAATACACTAATAGTTAGTTAGGCCTACAAGACACAAGAGCCATCTGACAAAATGAACCGGATGTGTAAAAATTGTAAACATAGGGACCGACCGTGGCAAATTAATAAATTTACATATAAAGCTTAACATTTGTTCTAATATTTAACAAAATAAATTTAGAAACATTTTATTAACAATTTTAATGTATAATAAAGTGTTATTTTGATTTTTTTATACTGAAATATTTTTCAAAAAGACCCTTATAAAACTATTTTATTTTAGATCCCTAAATTGACCTTACACTTCAACATTGACCCAAAATTGTTTTATCTAGAATACATATTCTGTGCCACCATGTCGTATGTGTTTGTGTTTGTTTTTAGTGAATAGAACGAAGCAACATCAGTTTACAGAAGTGTTAATTTAAACGTTTTTAGTCAAATATGTTCTTTTTTATTTGGTAAAAACAAAGAAAGTATGCCTACTACTACCTACACTACTCTAGGCTATTATTAGAATCTAGTAACTACTACTAGTACTAGAGTCTAGATCTAGAATCTAGATCTAGATATCTAGTTCTAGATCTAGATCTAGTACTGTCTAGTAACTAGATCTAGTACTATTAACTAAGAAAGAAGAGTTTTAATTTTTTATTGATTAAAAATAAAATTTCTAGACTAGATCTAGTCTAGGATCTAGAAGAGCTAAAAATAGGTCTAGATCTACAAAACAATCTACTGAATATTAACTACTGACCTAGCTAGACTAGATTCATTATTGATTATTTATTTATTTATTATCATTTAAGTTAAGTAAGACATTTTAAGAGATTAGTTTCAGGTTAGAAATTTAGAATTAACTAGTCTATAACTGCTATAATAAATAATATAAACAAATTTGACTGAGCTCACAATAAATATTGGATTAGGCCTAGATCTAGATGTCTAAAAGTAAATCTATAGTATAGGCCTATTAAATAATTTATTTTATAATAGTAGGCCTATAGACTACTAGATTCTAGGAGTTGAGATGTGAGGAGAGTTGAGTTTATAAAAAATCAATAAATTTCTATCACAATTTCAGCCTTTAAAAAATGCAAAATAATGTTAATAATAATAACTTTAATAAGGGGTAAAAGTCAGTTTCTAACATTAAGTGTTTAGTTTAAAATACATACTGTCAAAAACAATTTCCAAAAAAAAAAAGAATCTTCATCTTTTAAGTTCATCTGTTTAAATGACCTCAGCATATGAGGGAATACTGTGGTGTGGTTAACACTATGCCCAGCCAGTCAGATACCCATCAGAGCTGGGTAAACTCGGAGGCTTCGTAATTTCCTACAGGCTTGAACCTATGATTCAAACAGTCTTAAGCTCCACACCTTCCCCATGGATTGTAGAATATAGGCTAGTTATTAGTTATTGGTATAACTGCTACTAGCTTCAACTACATTATTTATTTTTTAAATTAAAATTTAAGGGCTTTTATCTAATAAAATGAAAGTATTAAATTATTAAAATGCCTAAGTAATTATTTTTGAATAAAATTGCCTAACTACTAATGATAATGATACTTTCTGTTAAACTACAAACTAATACTCACTAGGATATGGGCAGACATTGCCAATGCAGTGCCTAATAAGCAAACTTTGCTGTAGCCTTAATTAACTCTCACCCTATTATAGACCACTCTAGCTCTAAACCTTACAAATATAGGATTTCCCCCGCTTTACCTACCCATCTTGAACTGATTTAACCTTTCTGACCTGTTGATCTTTAGATTAAGCAGAATTTCATCTGTATAATGTCAATGATCTCTTGATATAATTGGATAGTGTGGTTAGAACTATGCCATTCCATCTTTAATTACACTATCTGCAGCCATCAGAGCTGGATGGACGTAGGGACATCCTACAGGTTCAAACCTAAGAAACTTGTCAGAGACTCTCTTTAATAATCTAGCACACTCATCGAAAGATTGAAATTGTTAATAATTATGATACTTCAGATAAGCAATCGCCATCAGTGAAATACACCAAACTAATCTGTAGCTCTGATCATGACATTGGCCAAGAGAGATGATGAAGAACAGAAATTTAATTTTAATAACACTATCAAATTTTTTTCTGATTTACTTTTGAGTTTACACAACAATAAATGTTTTTAACAAAATGTTAATGCATTTATTAACATTTCTTAACATCCTTTTTCAGGTGTGGACAATAAATTTTCATCTTCAATTGTCTGGGAATTAGTCAAATCAAATCAAAATGTCAAGTGCTGCTCGATATGGGAGAATAATTCTCAGACATGTTAAGTCTCGTGGAAGTAAGTTGTTAGCTAGTTTGTTATTTTCATTACAATTTTTATATAACTGAACTATATGCAAGTTTATTTTAAAATCTATTATTTTATTACTTTTGCATTACAAGTTTTATAATAAGCAAACAATGTTTTTATAAATTATTAATTAAGATACAAATTTTGTATAATTGAAGTTTTTAAAATTTTCCTTAACTTTTTTGTCTTTTATCAGGTGGACAGGTTTTTCGTATGAAATTTCAAGTAGCTGTACATGAAGAGCCAGTGTGTGCAAACATTACTGCTTGTATACAGCGTCAGTACGCATCTACCACAAGTTCTGGGAACGGTGGGGATGAGACCACTGAGGACAAAAATAAACCTAAAGCTCCAGTAACACCAGCCAAAGGTGGCACAGACAAAGGGAAAGGGGGCAAGAAAGGGTCCAACCAGCTTTGTTGCCCAAAGTGTGGCGATCCTTGTACACATGTAGAAACTTTTGTTTGTAAGTAACCCATTGCCCAAAGTCTGGGGATTCTTGTACACATGTAAACCTTTGTTTGTAAGTAACCGATTGCCCAAAGTGTGGGGATTCTTGTACACATGTAAACCTTTGTTTGTAAGTAAACCATTGCCCAAAGTGTGGGGATTCTTGTACACATGTAGAAACTTTTGTTTGTAAGTAACCCATTGCCCAAAGTATGGGGATTCTTGTACACATGTAGAAACTTTTGTTTGTAAGTAAACCAATGCCCAAAGTGTGGGGATTCTTGTACACATGTAGAAACTTTTGTTTGTAAGTAACCCATTGCCCAGTCTGGGGATCCTTGTACACATGTAGAAACTTTTGTTTGTAAGTAACCCATTGCCCAGTCTGGGGATCCTTGTACACATGTAGAAACTTTTGTTTGTAAGTAACCCATTGCCCAAAGTCTGGGGATCCTTGTACACATGTAGAGCAATATTTCACATTTCTAAAACCAACTCTTGCAAAATTATTCTTGTAAACATAATAGCTGATATTATAATGAAATATTTTGTTATAATGTAGTAGAATGTGGCATTAAAAGGGGAAGGCTAAAAACCAATACCTTAGTCATAACTTTATGGTTGTTTAATATAACAACAGCACTAACTGCCATTTTACTAATTTGTTTACTTTCAGCATCCACTCGCTTTGTCAAGTGTGAGAAGTGCCACCACTTTTTTGTTGTGTTGTCAGAAACAGATTCAAAGAAAAGCTTCAAGGAATTTCGGGATGAAAAAATTAACCAAAGAAAGAAAACACCACCTCCACCAAAAAAGGTATTTAACTTTAAAAGGAACTGTTTAGTTTACTACAGCTGGAGGTTTACGAAGTAAAAACTTGCAATTAAAGTATTACAGTTCAGCTGATGGTGACGCATTCAAGTAAATCAAATGTAATGTTCTTCATCTAATAGTAATAACACTTAATTTCTAATGAGAAAACTAATTTTTTAAATCTAATTTACATTTCAGATTTTTGAGAAAAACTAATTTTTTAAATCTAATTTACATTTCAGATTTTTGAGTTTTTAGACAGATATGTTGTAGGACAAGATCACGCCAAGAAAGTTCTCTCAGTGGCAGTGTACAACCACTACAAGCGTATCTACCACAACCTGCCAGGGGGGAACACTAGCACAAAGGAGACAACTACATCGCAGTCAGGACAACATTTCCCACACACTTTCTCACCTCGAGGTAATTTCTCACCCTGCTGTTTTAGAATCGGTTTATAATTAGTTGAAAATTTCTCTTAAGGCATTCAGTTGTCCTACTGTATTTGGACTGTTATGCTCAGACGATATTTAGTCTTTTTTTATATCCTGCAATAAAGCCTGCAATTGCTGATGTATTCCTAGATATGCTTCAAATAGCTTTCAATTGCTGGTATATTCCTAGATATGCTTCAAATAGCTGTGACGGGGCCACTGGGACCAAGTGTTGGTGGCTCCACACAGAGCCCCAGTGGGGGGGAGGAGACAAGCAAGAAGTCTGATATACTGGAGTCTGCTGTACACGAGCTGCAACTGGAGAAAAGTAACATCCTCATGTTGGGGCCTACTGGCTCAGGTAATGTTAACATTCTCATGTTGGCTCAGGTAATGTTAACATTCTCATGCTGGGGCCTACTGGCTCAGGTAATGTTAACATTCTCATGTTGGGTCAGGTAATGTTAACATTCTCATGTTGGGTCAGGTAATGTTAACATTCTCATGTTGGGTCAGGTAATGTTAACATTCTCATGCTGTGGCCTACTGGCTCAGGTAAAGTTAACATTTTCATGTTGGGTCAGGTAATGTTAACATTCTCATGCTGGGTCAGGTAAAGTTAACATTCTCATGTTGGGTCAGGTAATGTTAACATTTTCATGTTGGGTCAGGTAATGTTAACATTCTCATGCTGGGGCCTACTGGCTCAGGTAAAGTTAACATTCTCATGTTGGGTCAGGTAATGTTAACATTCTCATGTTGGGTCAGGTAAAGTTAACATTTTCATGCTGGGGCCTACTGGCTCAGGTAATGTTAACATTCTCATGTTGGCTCAGGTAATGTTAACATTCTCATGTTGGGTCAGGTAAAGTTAACATTTTCGTGTTGGGGCCTACTGGCTCAGGTAATGTTAACATTCTCATGCTGGGTCAGGTAATGTTAACATTCTCATGTTGGGTCAGGTAATGTTAGCATTCTCATGTTGGGGCCTACTGGCTCAGGTAATGTTAACATTCTCATGTTGGGGTCTACTGGCTCAGGTAATGTTAACATTCTCATGTTGGGTCAGGTAATGTTAGCATTCTCATGTTGGGTCAGGTAATGTTAGCATTCTCATGTTGGGTCAGGTAATGTTAGCATTCTCATGTTGGGTCAGGTAATGTTAGCATTCTCATGTTGGGTCAGGTAATGTTAGCATTCTCATGTTGGGTCAGGTAATGTTAACATTCTCATGCTGGGTCCTACTGGCTGAGGTAATGTTAACATTCTCATGCTGGGCCCCACTGAGTCAGGTACTGAATGCTAACATTTTTTTTATGTTAATCTAATGAAGTTACATCCCTTTTATTGAAGTTTTATAATTGTTTTGCTTTCTTGATGAGAAACTATCTTAACCCTGTTAACTCACCTAAAACATTGAATTGCTGTCGTGCTTGCAGGTAAGACTCTCCTGGCTCAGACACTGGCTCGCTGTTTGGATGTCCCATTTGCTATTTGTGACTGCACCACTCTGACCCAGGCAGGTTATGTGGGGGAGGACATAGAGAGTGTTATAGCCAAACTTTTACAGGATGCCAACTACAATATAGAGAAGGCACAGCAAGGTACAGTAACTCTCTATTGACTTGTTTCTCTCTAGTGTTCCTAAATGTTTGATCTAAAAATTATTGTTGTTATAAAACTTTTGTTTTATGATTATTACATCATTGTGCAATGCTGGTGTTTTAGGTATAGTGTTCTTAGATGAAGTGGACAAAATTGGCTCCGTGCCAGGAATCCATCAGCTGAGAGATGTGGGAGGGGAAGGCGTGCAGCAGGGCATGCTCAAGATGTTGGAGGGTACCATTGTCAATGTCCCAGAGCGTAACTCACGCAAGCTCAGGGGGGAGACGGTTCAGGTGGACACAACAAACATTTTGTTTGTGGCTTCTGGAGCTTTCAATGGCCTTGACCGCATCATCAGCAGACGCAAAAATGAAAAGGTAAATTTCTTAACTTGGTCACAAGCATTTATAAGTTAATCATCATGTATATATCATCTTACTCTACCCCTGGGTACCTCTTCATGTCCTAGTTACATTGTCTTAACTCTATCTGACATTACTACATTCTTTAAACTGTCCAAATCTTATCTTGTGCTATATCCTATCTTATCCTATATCCTATCTTGTTCTATATCCTGACTCTTTCGTCCTATATCCTGTGCTACATCCTGACAATCCTTATCCTATATTCTGACTATCCTACAGTATCTAGGATTTGGCACCCAACGAAGCACCAGTGAGGGCCGGCGTGCAGCATCTGAGGCAGACGTGAAGAGCCAAACAGAAAGTTCTAACGCTGTTCTAGATAATGAGGAGAGAGATGCTCTACTCAAACAGGTCAGGTGTGTGGCTGGTGTGTGGGAGAGGTCAGGTGTGTGGGAGACAGGTCAGGTGTGTGGCTGGTGTGTGGGAGACAGGTCAGGTGTGTGGGAGACAGGTCAGGTGTGTGGCTGGTGTGTGGGAGACAGGTCAGGTGTGTGGCTGGTGTGTGGGAGACAGGTCAGATGTGTGGGAGACAGGTCAGATGTGTGTCTGGTGTGTGGGAGACAGGTCAGGTGTGTGGCTGGTGTGTGTGAGACAGGTCAGGTGTGTGGCTGGTGTGTGTGAGACAGGTCAGGTGTGTGGCTGGTGTGTGGGGGACAGGTCAGGTGTGTGTGTGGTGTGTGGGAGACAGGTCAGGTGTGTGGCTGGTGTGTGGGGGACAGGTCTGGTGTGTGGCTGGTGTGTGGGAGACAGGTCAGGTGTGTGTGTGGTGTGTGGGAGACAGGTCAGATGTGTGGCTGGTGTGTGGGAGACAGGTCAGGTGTGTGGCTGGTGTGTGGGAGACAGGTCAGATGTGTGGGAGACAGGTCAGATGTGTGTCTGGTGTGTGGGAGACAGGTCAGGTGTGTGGCTGGTGTGTGGGAGACAGGTCAGGTGTGTGGCTGGTGTGTGGGAGACAGGTCAGGTGTGTGGCTGGTGTGTGGGAGACAGGTCAGATGTGTGGGAGACAGGTCAGATGTGTGTCTGGTGTGTGGGAGACAGGTCAGGTGTGTGGCTGGTGTGTGTGAGACAGGTCAGGTGTGTGGGAGACAGGTCAGGTGTGTGGGAGACAGATCAGGTGTGTGGCTGGTGTGTGTGAGACAGGTCAGGTGTGTGGCTGGTGTGTGTGAGACAGGTCAGGTGTGTGGCTGGTGTGTGGGTGACAGGTCAGGTGTGTGTGTGGTGTGTGGGAGACAGGTCAGGTGTGTGGCTGGTGTGTGGGGGACAGGTCAGGTGTGTGGCTGGTGTGTGGGAGACAGGTCAGGTGTGTGTGTGGTGTGTGGGAGACAGGTCAGGTGTGTGGCGGGTGTGTGTGAGACAGGTCAGGTGTGTGGCTGGTGTGTGGGGGACAGGTCAGGTGTGTGTGTGGTGTGTGGGAGACAGGTCAGGTGTGTGGCTGGTGTGTGGGGGACAGGTCAGGTGTGTGTGTGGTGTGTGGGAGACAGGTAAGGTGTGTGGCTGGTGTGTGGGAGACAGGTCAGAGGTGGGAGACAGGTCAGGTGTGTGTTGTGTGGGAGACAGGTCAGGTGTGTGGCTGGTGTGTGGGGGACAGGTCAGGTGTGTGTGAGACAGGTCAGGTGTGTGGCTGGTGTGTGGGAGACAGGTCAGATGTGTGGGAGACAGGTCAGATGTGTGTCTGGTGTGTGGGAGACAGGTCAGGTGTGTGGCTGGTGTGTGGGGGACAGGTCAGGTGTGTGTGGTGTGTGGGAGACAGGTCAGGTGTGTGGCTGGTGTGTGGGGGACAGGTCAGGTGTGTGTGTGGTGTGTGGGAGACAGGTCAGGTGTGTGGCTGGTGTGTGGGAGACAGGCCAGATGTGTGGCTGGTGTGTGGGAGACAGGTCAGGTGTGTGGCTGGTGTGTGGGAGACAGGTCAGGTGTGTGTGTGGTGTGTGGGAGACAGGTCAGATGTGTGGGAGACAGGTCAGGTGTGTGGCTGGTGTGTGGGAGACAGGTCAGGTGTGTGGCTGGTGTGTGGGGGACAGGTCAGATGTGTGTCTGGTGTGTGGGAGACAGGTCAGGTGTGTGTGAGACAGGTCAGGTGTGTGGCTGGTGTGTGGGAGACAGGTCAGATGTGTGGGAGACAGGTCAGGTGTGTGTCTTGTGTGTGTGAGACAGGTCTGGTGTGTGTGTGGTGTGTGTGAGACAGGTCACATGTGTCTTTGGTGTGTGTGGGAGACAGGTCAGGTGTGTGTCTGGTGTGTGTGAAACAGGTCAGGTGTGTGTGAGACAGGTCAGGTGTGTGGCTGGTGTGTGTGAGACAGGTCTGGTGTGTGTGTGGTGTGTGTGAGACAGGTCACATGTGTCTTTGGTGTGTGTGGGAGACAGGTCAGATGTGTGGGAGACAGGTCAGGTGTGTGTCTGGTGTGTGTGAAACAGGTCAGGTGTGTGTGAGACAGGTCAGGTGTGTGTGGTGTGTGTTTGATATGTTTGATTGTGTGTTCTGATTGAGTGAGGTCTAACATGGTCTATACAGTTTTTATCCTTTGACTGACAGGTTGAAGCCAGGGATATGATTGAGTTTGGAATGATCCCGGAGTTTGTAGGCCGCCTGCCTGTTGTTGTCCCCTTTCACAGTCTGACAGAGGACATGCTGGTCAAGATCCTGGTGGAACCACGCAACGCCCTCGTACCTCAGTACCAAGCTCTCTTTGGGATGGATAAGGTCATTCTTGTTGCCAGTCATTTTTGTTTGTTGTTGGGGTTTGGTGTGGGCTGGATGTCAGTGTGGGCTGGATGTCATTGTGGCCTTGATGTCAGTGGGGGCTGGATGTCAGTGGGGGCTGGATGTCAGTGGGGGCTGGATGTAAGTGTGGGCTGGATGTGAGTGTGGGCTCTATGTAAGTGTGGGCTCTATGTCAGTGTGAGCTTGATGTCAGTGTGGGCTTGATGTCAGTGTGGGCTTGATGTCAGTGTGGGCTTGATGTAACCGTGGGCTACATGTCATTAATTGTCTGGGCTTGATTTCATCAATTGACTGCGTGCTGTATGTCATTAGTTGACCATGGGTACTATGTCATTAGTGTACTGTGGGCTGCATGTCATTAGTGAACCGTGGGCTGTATGTCATTAATTGACCGTGGGCTGTATGTCATTAGTGTACCGTGGGCTGTATGTCATTAGTGTACTGTGGGCTGCATGTCATTAGTGTACCGTGGGCTGTATGTCATTAGTTGACAGTGGTTTGTATGTCATTAGTGTACCGTGGGCTGCATGTCATTAGTGTACTGTGGGCTGTATGTCATTAATTGACCTTGGGCTGTATGTCATTAGTGTACCGTGGGCTGTATGTCATTAGTGTACTGTGGGCTGCATGTCATTAGTTGAGTGGTTTGTATGTCATAAGTGTACCGTGGGCTGTATGTCATTAGTGTACCATGGGCTGTGTGTCATTTATTGACTGTATGACATGTAGATTTTATTATTTGACCAGATCTATCTAGAGGTCAAGGAAGACGCCAAGAGAGCTATAGCCCACTTAGCTTTGGAGAGAAAAACTGGAGCTCGTGGACTGAGAGCTATTATGGTATGTTTAGAGAAACTTTAACCCTTTATTGTTTGGGCTTTTAAAATATTTTACTTTCAACCCAAATGACAACATGTTTTACCTTACACTCATTTTAAAATTTTAAAAAAATATCTACATATATCAAAATATCAAAAGACGCAAAATTTGAAGAAAATTGTCTTAGTTTAATATGTTTGGGCTAAATAGCTTAAAAAAGTAAAAATAAATAAACCGGGAGTGATCTCCCCTAAACTTTCTCGAATATTCTTATATAACTTGGAATATAGACATGATTTTTAATTACTTAAACTTTTAAAAATAGAATAGAATCTCATAGAAAAAAGAATTGCGCACCAAGCGAACGCCAAAACAAAATGTGCATAATAGTGCGCAATATTATTAGTACTTTATAAATTTACATGCGTTTTTTGAGAAATCGGTAATAGCGTAAATTAGTTTTTCTGGTCAACGGAAATTACTAAAAATTTGACAGAAGGTAGAGAATTAGATCTTTTACTTGCATGTAAAATTTCATTTAACCTTCTGGGGTCGGCGTGGTCGAGTCGGTAAAACTCATGGTTGCTAAACCGAAAAGTCTCGAGTTCGAACCCTCGGGCAGATGAGGCTCGTTAGCTGGGGACAGCCACTCTTCTAGGAGAGACAACTCCAAAATTAAACAACTGCTTCCTTGTAGTTTGTTCTTGGTTGGACAAAGGCTATGGAAGCAAATCCAAAAAGAAAAGCAGGCTGAAATCGGAGTCAATGGCCTCAATGGCGCATAACCAGTTGGCACGTAACGCTTAATTGTGTTGGAGGCGTGGTCGAGTCGGCAATAAGCTAATGGTTGATAAATTCGAACAAAATCTCGAGTTCAAACCCACTGGCAGATAAATCTCAATCCCCCTCAACACTAATAATTAAGAACGAAGAAGAAGAGAATTTAACCTTCTGAAATAGGACTCAAGTTATAGGCTTTCGAAAAATTCAAAGTAGAAAAAGTACCACTTCCGGTTATCGGAAATTGCTCAAAAGTTGATCAGGATCTACGATTTTGATAAAATACTTATATATGAAATTTCATCAACCTAACTCTAACAGTACTCAAGTTATCGTGTTTACACACAGACAGACACACACACAGACAGACATACGGACAAGATCGCAAAAATATGTTTTAACGTATCAGTGATTACAAGACTTTCTCTATACTTCGTATATACGAGAAAGTAAAAAATAAAAATAATATCAAACCTAAAAAAAACTTTAAAAAATTTTGTTTTTACATTATTTTAATCAAGCTATTTGATAGAATGCTAAAAAATTTATTCAACAGTCACTGAAACTACTTTCACTTTTGTTTTTCATTAACTATATATTCATAAATTAATGTATTGTGGTTGAAAAGTGGGTCAACATTTTGTTTGGCCATACAGGATGTGAAAAGGTTTAAATGCCCAAACAGTTAGGGTTAATGTTTAATCTGTCGCTAGTGCTAGTTAGAAACAGTGTTAATGGTTAACTAGATCTAGTTACAATTTGTGGAGGGCTACTGTGTTTATTAATGGAGGGCTACTGTTTTTAATTGAGGGCTACTGTGTTTAATTGAGGGCGAATGTTTAATTGAGGGCTACTGTTTTTAATTGAGGGCTAATGTGTTTAATTGAGGGCTAATGTGTTTAATGAAGGACTACTCTGTTTAACTGAGACTTTGTGTTGCTGTGTTTAATTGAGACATTGTGTTGCTGTGTTTAACTGAGACTTTGTGTTGCTGTGTTTAACTGAGACTTTGTGTTGCTGTGTTTAACTGAGACTTTGTGTTGCTGTGTTTGAGACTTTGTGTTGCTGTGTTTGAGACTTTGTGTTGCTGTGTTTAACTGAGACTTTGTGTTGCTGTGTTTAACTGAGACTTTGTGTTGCTGTGTTCAACTGAGACTTTGTGTTGCTGTGTTTAACTGAGACTTTGTGTTGCTGTGTTTAACTGAGACCTTGTGTTGCTGTGTTTAACTGAGACTTTGTGTTGCTGTGTTCAACTGAGACTTTGTGTTGCTGTGTTTAACTGAGACTGTGTTGCTGTGTTTAACTGAGACTTTGTGTTGCTGTGTTTAACTGAGACTTTGTGTTGCTGTGTTTGAGACTTTGTGTTGCTGTGTTTGAGACTTTGTGTTGCTGTGTTTGAGACTTTGTGTTGCTGTGTTTAACTGAGACTTTGTGTTGCTGTGTTTGAAACTTTGTGTTGCTGTGTTTGAGACTTTGTGTTGCTGTGTTTAACTGAGACTTTGTTTTGCTGAGTTTAACTGAGACTTTGTGTTGCTGTGTTTAACTGAGACTTTGTGTTGCTGTGTTTGAGACTTTGTGTTGCTGTGTTTAACTGAGACTTTGTGTTGCTGTGTTTAACTGAGACTTTGTGTTGCTGTGTTTAACTGAGACTTTGTGTTGCTGTGTTTATTTGAGACTTTGTGTTGCTGTGTTTGAGACTTTGTGTTGCTGTGTTTGAGACTTTGTGTTGCTGTGTTTAACTGAGACTTTGTGTTGCTATGTTTAACTGAGACTTTGTGTTGCTGTGTTCAACTGAGACTTTGTGTTGCTGTGTTTAACTGAGACTTTGTGTTGCTGTGTTTAACTGAGACTTTGTGTAGCTGTGTTTAACTGAGACTTTGTGTTGCTGTGTTTAACTGAGACTTTGTGTTGCTGTGTTCAACTGAGACTTTGTGTTGCTGTGTTTGAGACTTTGTGTTGCTGTGTTTAACTGAGACTTTGTGTTGCTGTGTTTGAGACTTTGTGTTGCTGTGTTTAACTGAGACTTTGTGTTGCTGTGTTTAATTGAGACTTTGTGTTGCTGTGTTTGAGACTTTGTGTTGCTGTGCTTGAGACTTTGTGTTGCTGTGTTTAACTGAGACTTTGCGTTGCTGTGTTTGAGACTTTGTGTTGCTGTGTTTGAGACTTTGTGTTGCTGTGTTTAACTGAGACTTTGTGTTGCTGTGTTTAACTGAGACTTTGTGTTGCTGTGTTCAACTGAGACTTTGTGTTGCTGTGTTTAACTGAGACTTTGTGTTGCTGTGTTTAACTGAGACCTTGTGTTGCTGTGTTTAACTGAGACTTTGTGTTGCTGTGTTCAACTGAGACTTTGTGTTGCTGTGTTTAACTGAGACTTTGTGTTGCTGTGTTTGAGACTTTGTGTTGCTGTGTTTGAGACTTTGTGTTGCTGTGTTTGAGACTTTGTGTTGCTGTGTTTAACTGAGACTTTGTGTTGCTGTGTTTGAAACTTTGTGTTGCTGTGTTTGAGACTTTGTGTTGCTGTGTTTAACTGAGACTTTGTTTTGCTGAGTTTAACTGAGACTTTGTGTTGCTGTGTTTAACTGAGACTTTGTGTTGCTGTGTTTGAGACTTTGTGTTGCTGTGTTTAACTGAGACTTTGTGTTGCTGTGTTTAACTGAGACTTTGTGTTGCTGTGTTTAACTGAGACTTTGTGTTGCTGTGTTTATTTGAGACTTTGTGTTGCTGTGTTTGAGACTTTGTGTTGCTGTGTTTGAGACTTTGTGTTGCTGTGTTTAACTGAGACTTTGTGTTGCTATGTTTAACTGAGACTTTGTGTTGCTGTGTTCAACTGAGACTTTGTGTTGCTGTGTTTAACTGAGACTTTGTGTTGCTGTGTTTAACTGAGACTTTGTGTTGCTGTGTTTAACTGAGACTTTGTGTTGCTGTGTTCAACTGAGACTTTGTGTTGCTGTGTTTAACTGAGACTGTGTTGCTGTGTTTAACTGAGACTTTGTGTTGCTGTGTTTAACTGAGACTTTGTGTTGCTGTGTTTGAGACTTTGTGTTGCTGTGTTTGAGACTTTGTGTTGCTGTGTTTGAGACTTTGTGTTGCTGTGTTTAACTGAGACTTTGTGTTGCTGTGTTTGAAACTTTGTGTTGCTGTGTTTGAGACTTTGTGTTGCTGTGTTTAACTGAGACTTTGTTTTGCTGAGTTTAACTGAGACTTTGTGTTGCTGTGTTTAACTGAGACTTTGTGTTGCTGTGTTTGAGACTTTGTGTTGCTGTGTTTAACTGAGACTTTGTGTTGCTGTGTTTAACTGAGACTTTGTGTTGCTGTGTTTAACTGAGACTTTGTGTTGCTGTGTTTATTTGAGACTTTGTGTTGCTGTGTTCAACTGAGACTTTGTGTTGCTGTGTTTGAGACTTTGTGTTGCTGTGTTTAACTGAGACTTTGTGTTGCTGTGTTTAACTGAGACTTTGTGTTGCTGTGTTTAACTGAGACTTTGTGTTTAACTGAGACTTTGTGTTGCTGTGTTTAACTGAGACCTTGTGTTACTGCAGGAGACCATACTGCTAGACTCTATGTTTGATGTGCCTGGCTCAGACATAACTACTGTGATAATTAACGAGAAAGTGGTCAAGGGAGAGGAAGCTGCTGTTTACATCAGGTCGCCCAAGCTGACACAAAATGATGCCGAGTCGCCTGAGGATTCTGGGTGTGAGGATGAAGAGGAGTTGAAAGTCAGACAGTCTTGATGTCAGGCTGTCAGACAGTCTTGATGTCAGGCTGTCAGACAGTCTTGATGTCAGGCTGTCAGACAGTCTTGATGTCAGGCTGTCAGACAGTCTTGATGTCAGGCTGTCAGACAGCCTTGACGTCAGGATGCCAGTCTAGATGTCAGTCTGTAAACCTATGTCCAGTTGTGACAAATGTGAATAAAATTGTTTTCTTCAAAGCTGTTGTAACCATACCTGAAAGCTGGGACAGATGGGGTTTGATCTGAACGGGCCTAGGTTCTCCTCACATTATAATAACTTATTGTATCTGATCATGATATTACACAACTATTTAACCTTTTGAAACAGTTCAGTTGAAAAGTGACAGTCAATACACTTGCTCCAAGTAGTGTTTCAGTAACGGTTGCTCTACAAAATATTTTGCTCAAAATTTTTTTTTTCCTAAAAAACCAAAAAAAGAAAGTTTGTTGTCAGTTCTCACCGCTGTAAAGGTCAGGTAAAAAAAATATTTCCTCAATCTGCCGGTTGATGTGTAGAAGTTTGGTCACTATGGTGGGATGTCACCTGTTGATGGTTTCTTGAACTTATTTTGGGACTCTACTTGATCCACTGGCCTAAATTAATCAGGAGTGTTTGAAATGTTGGTCTGCTTCCATTGGTCTCGTTAGACCCAGCTGAGTGATTAGAACTTTAAGTACTTGGTCTCATTAGCTGTCACAGCTTATTAGTGTTATCATGTTTTGTTTTCTTTGGTACCTAACTGGTTGGGGTTCACATTTTTAAATGTATAAACAATCTAATGCAGGTTGATCAAGTTGGTAGTCAAAAATCTGGTCACTGTGGCCACAGATACACGTTGGCCAGATAAATGTTTGTTGGCTAAAATAGTTTTAAAATTAACAGTTTTTTGGTCCCAGCTCTGTCTATACATACCACTTAGTGTGACCGAGTGACCAAAATTGTGTGAGTTTGGCCAAAATTGTGTGAGTTTGGCCAAAATTGTGTGAGTTTGGCCCAAACAGCATTATCTAGAATTTAGAAGTCATGTTTTTAAAATTACTTTTGACAGCTGGGTTTGTGAATTCTTACGTCAGATTTATTTAGCAACATTGTCATCGTGAATTCTTCACTAACACTTGACCACCTGTTCTAACTATTTAGTTTGTTTATTTATACCAGATAGTTTTTAAAAGATCCATGCTGTTTTTATATCCAAATTGTATTTTTATCATTCAGTAAATCATTGTTTTTATTCTCATCTGTATGATAAAATTCTTCTTAAAATAATGTTTTTGGTGTTGAAGCTCTTTTGGAAAGAAAATAAAGATAACTGTTTTTAACACATTTTCTCCAATCTTTGTCTTTTATTTGCAACAAAACATTTGGCTGTTTCAGGTTATCCTCTAAAATAATAAGGAGTTTCGAAGCAAATCAGTCGTAAGAATTTGCGTTCGTTACTTCCCCTTTCACATGAAATACTTGTCATATCTGCTTGCGAGTGACGACAGAAATGAGACAGTCGCTGGACTGCCGAGTGTTTTTATTACAAGCTTTTTAATTGGTTGGTTCACAATGGCTGTTTGTTTCTGGCAAATCTTCTGACTCAATTTTGACCCATTTTTAGTGTAGCAAACCTTCCATATAAGTTTATATTTAACGACAATGCAAAAATAATCTAATTTGATATCAAACTAAGTAATTAAAGTTTAATTTAAAAGATTGCTAAATTTAGTAACAGGGGAGATAAGATAAAATACTAGCCAACGGTCACGTTGCGTTGATTTCACGCCTTATATCGACCACGTGATAAGAAGGAACAGATTACGGGTAAGGATAGGGAGGGATTTCACGCAGACATTTGTGATAGGGATTTCACGCAGACATTTGTGATCGTTGTTTTGATGATTTCATTGAGAATGGACAGAATGAAAAAAAGTTCACCTTCTAATTGTTTTTAAAAAATTAAATATCCACATACTATTATAAAATTTCACAAAAAGTAAAAAATAAAACAAATGTATAAAAAAATTAATAATAATCTTTTAAATTGCTTAAGATATTTTTTTTTACTGTCTTTGATTGAAGCATTGGTCGCTAAAATGTGTGACTACAAATTCTACAATACCACCAGACCCCGCAGGGGAGGGGGCGTTTAAGGAGCCCAAAATGTGGATTGTGCGCCGCCACTAGTGTGTGATGTAATGGACGGCCTGGCCGCCACTAGTGTGTGATGTAATGGACGGCCTGGCCGCCACTAGTGTGTGATGTAATGGACGGTCTGGCCGCCACTAGTGTGTGATCTAATGGACGGCCTGGCCGCCACTAGTGTGTGATCTAATGGACGGCCTGGCCGCCACTAGTGTGTGATGTAATGGACGGCCGGCACATCTGGGGAGGTTAAGGTTGATATCTGGGCGCCAGGTCGCTTCCTTTCCCCACATTTCTTGTCAGTTCAGGGCAAACCCCAGGTGGTCGTAACAATATATGTGTGTGTGTATATATATATATATATTATATATATATATATATATATATATATATATATATATATATATATATATATATATATATATAAGCGGGCTGGTAGTGTGTCAGTCCTTCCGTCATCGCTATAGATTTTGGAATCATAAAAGTAAACATCGCACCATGCAGTGCTTTTCAGTGCATAGCAGTGTCTTATTATAAGACACTATTATTGGTAAAGTGCAATATGGTAGGTAAAACACGGATATTTTAAATACTGCTTTTTATTTATTTTTTATACTGAACGTACTGTTTACTAATTATTAATCTTATTTTGCTAATTAATTATTCCAACAATTATTTCTCTTGGAGATTTTACATTCACATTTTTGTATTAGCGTGAGTTGAATTTATTTTTAAATTACCTCCCTTGGCAAAATGACAAAACAGTTTAATTAATAATTTAATTAATTAATTCGACCCTACTACTATTAAAATGTATCCACTTTATCTAGGAATCGAAACGGAAATATTTGACATTGATCCATTTAATATGTTTTAGCAATTTGCGTGTATTTAATATTTTCTTTACGTTATACGAAAGAGTAAAAACTGTAGCAACTATAAAAAAAAATTTTAGTCGTTATATAAACAAACCCTACTCAATTACTTAAAATAAGACGCTGCGATGCACTGAAAAGCACAGCATAGTGCGATGTTAACTTTTATGGTTCCAAAAACTTTAGCGATGACACGAGGAGTGTCACACTACCAGCCCGCTTATATAATAGATTTTAAATACTGCCTTTTTATTTATTTTATACACCGAACGTACTGTTTATTAATTTTTAATCTAACTTTCCGTTCGCGGACAAGCTAGGGTTTTTATAGTCACTCACTTAATCAGGAGCGTTCGCCGGTGCTTGGACAGGGTGCGATTTGGCACTGTGAGCACTATGCATTTATGTTTGCAATTAAGTTGTGATTATGTTATGAGTGTTGTTTTGTTTTTTGGGTTGTGTTTTTTTGCGTTTGTGTTTGCATTGTGTTGGTGTTTTCATTTGTGTTTTTATTGGCGTTTATTTTTTTTTTTTTGTGTTTGTGTGTTGCATTTGTGTTTTCGTTTGCGTTTGCATTGTGTTTGTGTTTTCTTTTGTGGTTGTGATATGTTTGTGCTTTCTTTTGTGTTTGTGTTGTGTTTAGTTTTGTCCTGTTCCCAAGTTGGTACATTTAAAAAAGATTTACACCTATATACCTATACTAGCCGTCCCGGCCAGGCCCTGCTCTGGCTTCTGTGAAAAACCTTTCTGTTAAAGACCATCACCTGTGTGTTTAGTAATCATCGTAAACCCGGCATTGCCCACCCAAACCACAACCAACCAAAACCAAAACAACAAAACGCAAACATAACGCTAACACAATTACAAATACAAACGAAAACAAAAACCTAACAACAAACCCAACCACAACCACAAACACCAATACAAACACAAAGAAAAAACAAACCAAAAAGCAAACGAAAACAAAAACCTAACAACAAACCCAACCACAAACACCAATACCAACAAAAAAAAACAACGAAAAAGCAAACGAAAATAAACCAAATCCAAACGCAAAACCAACCAAAAACACAAATACAAACCCAAACAAAAAAACACAAACAAAAACGAAAAAAGAAAGAACAAAAACGAACCAAATTAAAACGCAACCACTATCGCAAACCCACCTAAACACAAAGAAAACACTAAAGCGAACATAAACGCCCGGGGCGGAATCACCTGTTTTAGCTTAATGAACGACTATAGTACCCCAACTTATTCATAGTCTTTTGCACTCACTTAAACGAACGCGCCTGTTTCAATTTGATGAACAATTATAATACTCCAAGCTTATCCGTAAAATACCTACAACATTTGCACTTGATCAATCCCCGCTAATTATGTAATTATTTTTTTCCCAACACCAAAACAAAGTAATTAAAAAGTAAATTCTTTTCCACAAAATGCAATGGTTTTATAAAGGGAAGTAATTGTGTTTTCCTAATTTATCAAAGGGAAGTAAGTGCTATAGGACTAAATAAAGACGTAATTAGAATTTTTGTAAAAGATGATATTTTTTTTAAAACTTGTGTTTAATGAACATGCCGACAATTATTACTATAATTTGAAAAATGAAAGTTATTTCCCAACACTTTCAATAGTAATTTTTTAACTCATAAATTTAGACAAATGCGCACGATAATTGTCTAACACTTAAATCCATCCAAGACCAACGACAAACATATGCGTTACATACAGAACTGAGCTTTATATATTAGATACACCTATACCTACACACACAAAGAGCATATTTCTTCTATACATTTTGAAAGTTTTCGCCATGGTGTCACCCACTAAATGGTGCCACCCGGTGCAGTCCGCACCCCCTGTCCATCAACGCCTCTGCGTCTGCTTACACATATACATACTATATGCTATACTGACAGAAGTTTTGACCTGTCGAGAATTAACCCCATTTTATTCTAGACCTCTTGGGTTGGTCAACGTTGGGTTTGTCTGTCCTAACGGATTCTTCGTTGTTTCCATTATAGCTATATTGTTTACTTCAATTAATTATCCCTACACAGCTGTTTTTCAAAGAAACAACAACAGAAATAGGTAAACAACAGAAATAGGTAAACAACAGAAATAGGTAAACAACAGAAATAGGTAAACAACAGAAATAGGTAAACAACAGAAATAGGTAAACAACAGAAATAGGTAAACAACAGAAATAGGTAAACAACAGAAATAGGTAAACAACAGAAATAGGTAAACAACAGAAATAGGTAAACAACAGAAATAGGTAAACAACAGAAATAGGTAAACAACAGAAATAGGTAAACAACAGAAATAGGTAAACAACAGAAATAGGTAAACAACAGAAATAGGTAAACAACAGAAATAGGTAAACAACAGAAATAGGTAAACAACAGAAATAGGTAAACAACAGAAATAGGTAAACAACAGAAATAGGTAAACAACAGAAATAGGTAAACAACAGAAATAGGTAAACAACAGAAATAGGTAAACAACAGAAATAGGTAAACAACAGAAATAGGTAAACAACAGAAATAGGTAAACAACAGAAATAGGTAAACAACAGAAATAGGTAAACAACAGAAATAGGTAAACAACAGAAATAGGTAAACAACAGAAATAGGTAAACAACAGAAATAGGTAAACAACAGAAATAGGTAAACAACAGAAATAGGTAAACAACAGAAATAGGTAAACAACAGAAATAGGTAAACAACAGAAATAGGTAAACAACAGAAATAGGTAAACAACAGAAATAGGTAAACAACAGAAATAGGTAAACAACAGAAATAGGTAAACAACAGAAATAGGTAAACAACAGAAATAGGTAAACAACAGAAATAGGTAAACAACAGAAATAGGTAAACATTTTGAAAAAAAAGTTTGAAAATAAATGACGTATTTCCCCTGAACAGGGTCGTACTTTAAGTGAGAGCACGGCCATGTTACGGCTAGTGCCGCGCTATAGCGGGTGGATTGGCGTTGCCGTTTTGGTCTCACAATGACGCACGCATTTACCGGAAGTTTAAATATAGATCCGCGCGGTCCAGCTCCGTTTCAATAATAAAGACATTAGTGGTGGTGTTTTCTAAAAGCACGCTGAAGGAATCAAGTTTAAAGGCACCATGTCAGTATAGGAAGGTACCATAGCATTAGCAGACGACACTGCTGCTACCACTGGAAGCAACAGGCTACAAGTTATTTCAACGCAATTGTTAAATAAAAACTGTGAATTTCTATCTAAAATATCTTAGAAAATATATCACGAAAAAGTCTAAAACACCTCTCTAGTAGACATTGAGG